CAATAAGTAGGAACCTGGTTGTTCGTCAATTGGCAGATCATTTTCTGGGGATAATAGTTCCTTAAAAAAAATAAGTTGGTCACTTAATCCACGATTGTTTATGGGACACACTGCTGTGCACAATTGACGGCTGCGTTTCGCCCACAAAATATACAGTCAATTCACTTTACAGTGTATTCTGTGAATTGCTTTGGGGCATCTCGAAGACGTGATAAAGCGCTATATCAAATGCAAGGATTGTTATCCTACATCAACAGTTCTCTTTTAATTACAGATTGTCAGTTGGCACCAAATCAATTTTAACCAGTAATAGCAGTAATGATTCCATTCCATCTTATTCATAAAATAAAAAAAACTGAAAATTGTTTGTACTGCTGTTTCTTTCAGCAAACCTATAAAAGCTATCAAGGTTTTGACACGAGTTTATAGTGCTACTGATCATGAGAAATGCATGCTGTTGCAGAACAATTTGAAAGCAGGAACACATTAAAATACATTATTCAAAGCCTACACTTGTTTTACATTTCTGTAGCCTAAATTAGTTGTGCATTCTGCAATGAATGGCAATGAACGGCAGAAATAATTCTAGCTTTGGTTATGTTAATACATCCTGAAATAGCAATTTAACTTTGATGGACATTTATTTGACAGTCCAAACAAAGTGCATCTGCCGGATACTGAAAAAACTCACAGTACAAGATGAAAAATATCAAGCAAATTATATATTGAAAGTATGACATTGAAAATCCATTGTTTTATAAAGATAAACAGAAACCTGCTGTTAGATTAAAATGTCACTTACATTTTCACTTTGTTCAATTCTTTCAATATAACTGCTGGTGCATCAGAACCAAAATTTGCAACTTTAATAAAAAAATTGGGTTCATCGTACAAAACTATTTTTTTTCAGCCCTCTAAAAGGTAGTTTGTATAATAGTTTTAAGTGTTTCAGCATTCAAAATAGACAGAAGTAACCCCGCTTTTCTATGCTTCTGTTCCATTGAAGAACACAATACATGTAATGCTAAGAATATTTTTTATGTACATTTCAATACATTTCAATGGGAGATTCGTGATCATTATGATATATAATTTGGTGGTCTCCAATTAAAGTTTCACATTATTTCCTCTTATAAAATATCAAACCTTTAATTCAAGCACATTGCTGCTTTTTAATTTATGTAAAAATCAAATGATTATTGAGATTATCTGCATTTATTGACACTAGCAGTTTAAGTCCATTCTCTGTTCGAAGTATAATAAAGGATATATGTTGAATTACACATTGTAAAGTACATATAGATACACAAACTATGGGTGTCAGCCTGGCCTAGTTGATAACATCACCTCTGGGATAAAAACAATTGTGAGTTCAAGTCCAAAATCGGAAATTCAATCTCACGGTCTGGGCCTGACAGTCCGTTGCAGTGCTGGGAGTGCTGTATTTTTGGAATTGCTGTACTTCAGATGAGATGTTAAACTATGGTGCCATTTACCCAGTGGTCATTAATAATCCATATCACTACTCAAATAGAGGAATGGAGTTTCTCTCGGTATTCCTGGCCAACAATTCCCTAAGTAAAATTGATCATTCACTTTGCTGTTTATGGCACATTGTTGTGTGCAAATTGGCTGCTATGTATGTCTACAAATAGTAACTTCACTTACGGCAAATAAATGTTCTTTACTATTTAAGGTTTTTTGATGTTACAGGGGTTATAATAATAGTTGTAATCCATGCATTTGATATAGCGCCTTATCACGTCTTCGAGATGTCTCAAAGAGCTTCACAGAATACACTGTTAAGTGAATTGACTGCATTTTTTGTGGGCGAAACGCAGCAGCCAGTTGTGCACAACAACAAAATTACATGTTGGGAGAACATCCCAAGGCGCTGGACTGTCAGAGTTTCGGGCCCGAGCTGGGGCGTCGGGATTGGGGAGCGTGGAGGGCAGGGGGGAAGCAGAGTGATCAAAAGCACGGTTGAAGAGGAGGGTCTTGAGATGGGTCTTGAAGGAGGCAAGGGAGGGGTGAGGTGGAGGGACTGCGGGATGGAGTTGCAGAAGGTGGGGGTAGAGTGGCAGAAGGCCCACCCGCCAATGGAGAGATGGGTAAGGGCCAGGATGTGAGGGGGAGATGGTCGGAAGGGTAGAGGCAGCTGAGCGGATTCCCTCTACTTTGGTTTCGAGGAAATCCAGCATCTCCTCCAGTTAGCGTTGGAAGAGAGGATGGGCAAGGCGTGAGAGGGTGGTTGGAGGAGCCAGTTGGTGATGGAGAAGCCTGGGGTTGTCCTTGGCCTCCAAGATTGTCTTGGAGTAGGACCAATTAGCGGAGGCAAGGGCAGAGCAGTATGATTTGATAAGGTCCAGCCAGATCTGCCGATGGTACTGTTAAGTTGGATTTGAGTCAGGTAGGTTCAGCACCTGTGCCTTAAGGGAGCGGAGGTGGCTGGTGTACCAGGATGACTTCCGTGAGTAGGAGACAGTTCGGGAAATGAGGGCAGCAAGGGCACTGAGTCATGGAGAGGGAGTTGTGGAGGAGAGTGACCGAGGATAGGTCATTGTGGGAGGAAGCCCAGAGGGGGAGAAGTTCAGATGACTCTGAGGCAGCGGAGGTGGGGGTGGGGTGGGGAGAGGGAGATTATTTTCCAGACCTCCGCAACACCACCTGGCTCTGCCACTGCCTCACACCACAGGAGGCTGACAATGAGGGAGTTTGTAGTCCTTCAGCCTTTCTACTTCCACCCTCTGGAACTCCATGCCAAGAGCACTTTCGCTTCACCCCTACGGTTACCTCCTTTAAGGTCAATCTCAAGGCCGTCCTCTTTGATGTGCCTTTAGTCATCTTCCCTCCTCCCCCGCCTTTCTGGAATCCAACCCTCAGCTCAGTGTAAACCCTCAACTGTCCAGTGCCTTGGGACTTCCTCCTGTCATGAAAGGCACTATATAAATGCAAGTTGTTGTTGTTATCATACTGCATATTACACTTCCGCTTGCCTCCGGAACATCGCCAGACTACGCCATTACCTCACCCCTCACGCTGCTGAAACCCTGGTTCACGCCTTTGTCACCTCAAGGCTGGACTATGGGAACTCTCTCCTCGCCGGCCTTCCCGCCACCTCCCTCCACAAGCTGCAGGTCATTCAGAACTCTGCAGCTCGTGTACTGTCCCGCACCAGGCTTCGGGACCATATCACTCCCACCCTCGCTCGCCTCCACTGGCTCCCCATCCCCCAGAGGATTGATTTCAAGATCCTCACCCTCACCTACAAGGCCATTCACGGCCTCGCTCCCTCCTACCTCTCCAACCTACTATCCCCCTACCTACCTGCCCGTACCCTCCGTTCCTCTGGCTCCGGTCTGCTCCACGTCCCCCGCCCCAACCGCCCTACCATCGGTGGTCGGGCCTTCAGCCTCTCAGCCCCGAGGCTCTGGAACTCCATCCCCCAGTGCCTTCGCCGCCTCCTCCCTTTCCTCCTTCAAGGCCGGTCTCAAAACCTTTCTCTTTGACCGAGCCTTCAGCTCCCCTCTCGACTCTCTTCCCCCTCCTCGCTCCCTCCCCTCACCCTGACCATTTCCCCCCTCCTTGCTCCCTCCTTTCCCTCCCCTCACCCTGACCATTTCCCCCCTCCTCGCTCCCTCCCTTCCCTCCCCTCACCCTGACCATTTCCCCCCTGCTCGGGTCATGACCCAACTGTGCAGCGCCTTGGGACGTCCTCCTGACGTGAAAGGCGCTTTATAAATGGAATCTTGTTGTTGTTGTTGCCTCTGCTACGGGTTTTGTGTTGTAATAGTGCAGCCTTTCGCCTCGGTTTCTCCTCCCCCAATAGTCCTCCTGGAAACTGAATTAACACAAGATTCTTCTGTTATTTGGTCTCATTCTTTTTTTTAAATGAATCCAGTGATCTGGCCTCTATCACCCTAACTGGGAGCCCATTACAGCTGTTAATTACTGTCTGTGTAAAGAAATACTTGGCACTATACTAAAATTTCAACACTTATTAGCTGCTCAGCCCAGATGGAATACTGTACTTGTTCAATGCTCTGAATGCTTACCTCCCATCTGTCTTCTGATTTATTCCCTTGGTAAGAAATCTTAATAAAAGTATAAGCTGGGAAGAGGCCTAGTCCTATTTGTGAAGTCGTTACTAAAGGAAATTGAAGGGGTGAATACCTCTAGGTTAAAATTTATTAAATTATTAATTTCTGTCTTAAAGTACTACCATCACAAATTGTTGTTAAAATATCCCTATAACAACATTTAGAAGTCAACTGGATAAAAAGCTGTGATTAGATCAGATAGTTTCAATGGGGGAGCTTGAGAATTGTGTTAATCCTGCTACATTATGCAGACTTTTAGCCAATTCAGATATCAAGAAACAAGTCCAACATGGGAAGTGCAAAGAACACATCCAAGTAATGCTGTAACAAAGTAAAGATTCCATATTGGTGGGTAGAGACGGGGAAGAGAGGGAATGAAATTAAAATTGTCCAATGAAATCATGTCTAAAACATTTGTAATCAGAACGTTTTACAACACAGGAAGAGGCCAGCATAGATGATAGGCGCGTGGCCTGCAAACTTTCTTTGCAGTTCCCATGTCAGACTTGTTCCTTGGACATCTGAATTGGCTAGAAGTCTGCATAATGTAGCACGATTGCACAGGCATAATGTTTGTTGAAAGTTCCGAACATCAAAAAGACTTCCGTTAAACACATGCCAGTTTTTATAGTTTTGCACCAGCACTTTTCCTTGTTATAACTGCGCAAACCAGATACTTTTTAACCGTCAACATCATTTCAAAAAAGGCATTGTAATACGGAACAGTTTCAAATTCCTTCTTTTCACAATATTAAAGGCCACATTTCTATTTAATCATTATAATTATAAATATATTGTCCACATCAGTCACAATAAAGACCCACAAGGGCAATGCGATGGTGAGGCGAGGGGAAAGAGGAAGAAAAATACTACAGTGCATTAGTTTTAATAACTTTTCAAAAAAGATTCTGACAGCTATTGCATCAGAAAAATGTGTGGTTGCAGGAAAATATTGACATGTTAAACAATACATCTTCCACATTGTACATTTAATTGACATCAAGACACATTATTTAATAACTCTCATGTCACTAGGTATGTCTTGCGTCAAACAGGTCATTGACATAACATGAAAAGGCAAACAGGTTACACAGTGTTCCAAATGATTGAGTGCATAACAGTGGTTTAACCAATAGAAATTATATTTTCTTTATTGCAGCTGCGTAATATATGCTTCATGCACCAAAAATAGATACTTGTATATAATTTGTTTTAATACCCTAAATATTTCATTTGTTTGGTGCAAAATAAATGTGAGCAAAAACAAGCAGCTCTTTGTGTTTTACCTGGGCTTTGATAATGCCACTTATTTGATCTAGTGATCAGTGACTGATATGATACATATATATTTATTTATATATAAAAAAAATTAGTGCATTCTATTCACATGTCAAATTGTCAAACCAAGTTTTAAAAAAAACCAATATATACATTCAAAATATATGCATTGTGCAGATACTGAAAATGTTACTTTTACAACAATAATTGTATAGTCTTCATAAAATAATTAGGCATCGGTGAATGAAGGAGTCCCTGTGATTTATGACACCAGGAATAGTTTTGGCATGAAACAAAAATATATTTTTACAAAAGTCATAACCACGATAACGCTGCACCTTTGAGATCATTATTGCCCTTAGATTTATGGTCATGGGTTTTTTTTATATTAAAAAAACAAATGTGACAAATGATTTCAATGCAATTCCCTTAATTTCTTAACAGCAGTTTTGACCCATCAGAACAAGGAAGAGTTGAGAAGTGCTATACAATGCATTTCCATCAGTCCTCTGCCAATCGGGATTGTTACTAATATAGCTACTTGCAATCTAATAGGTGAACAAATGCACAATGTCTGGATTTTGCCTAATTAGGTAAATGCACATTGAAGGCAGAAGTGCACTCGTGAACATTAACAACGGTCACTGTTCTACCATATTCGCTACACTGCAGAATGCGGTTGATGCAGTCCATGGAGTGTGGAAGAATTGGTCCTGTGATCTCTAAACTGTACGAGTCTATAGGACCAAGGCAACCCTGGACCTTTCCACTTGTATTTGTGACCTGTGTGAGAGAACAGGAAAAAAAGTCAGTGTTAGCAGTGATGCATATTAAAGTGGCCCACCCCAGGATAGGCAAAAGGGAAGTGGTCTTACCTAAGAAAGAATATCTAAGAGGAAGCGGTTGGTAGCTAGCAAATCTATATTTTGGTTGTGAATTCATTTTTACCTTCATTTTATCTCAGAATGTCTTTTTGGCTTTCTCTCCTACGCTTACCGTCTCTGTCAACCTCTGCATATTCCATCTCCCTGTGGGTTTGTTCTATCTGGTGTCTCACTCTGTGTCTGTCACTCTATAATTATTTCTCTTACCAGTCTTTCGCCGCGAGTTTTTCCCTATCTGTCTTGCAAACTGTACTCTCAGTCACTCATATTCTACATCTGTCCATTTCACCCACAAAATACACAGTTAGAACCACTTTACAGTAAATCTGTGAAGTGCTTTGAGACATCTCAAGACCTAATAAGGCGAATATACCAAATGAAAACATTATTTCCTATACCTTCCTTGCATGTGATCATCATTTTCTTGTTTTTTCACTCTCTTACCTTCAAATATCAAAATCATTCACAATGGCTTCCCCTACCTTCCCATCCTTTCTCTCATTTCCATCTCAGTGACTTAACTTTGTCTCCTTCCTTCCCTCCCTCTGCTTGGTTTCCCTCTATCTCTCCTGCTTCCTTTGTGGAGTCCTGTAGCTCAGTGGTTAGAGCACTCGCCTTGCAAGCGAGACACCTGGGTTCAATTCCAGGGCGAAACCTTGGGCAAGTTTCCTTACTCCACACGCCTAATAATAATCCCTCCAAAATAAAACAATAATAAATTGGTCATTTTCAATCCACGATTGTTTGTGGAACACTGCTGTGCGCAATTGGCTGCCGCGTTTCGCCCACAAATATACAGTCAATTCACTTTACAGTCTATTCTGTGAAGCGCTTTGAGATGTCGAGAAGACGTGAAAAGCGCTATATCAAATGCAAGGATTATTATTATTATTCCTTCCTTCCCTTACTCTCACTCCCCTTTCCATTTTCTTCCCCTCCCTTCCTTTCCCCAGTCTCTTCTCCTATTTCCCTTCCTCTTTCTCTCACACCCTGCCTCTCACATACTTTTAACAGGAAACAGTATCTGCGTACATAATTTCCTGGGCTAGTGATGAGTGAGATTGCTAATAGAGACCCCTGCAGTGTGGATGGCACTGATAATGAGAGTGAGTTGAGCATATGTGAGAGGTACCTGAAGAGACTGCTAAAATTAAAAGTGGTATAAGTGCTGATATCATTAGTCAATTCAAAAACTGAAAACCATAACAATACGCTACTGAAGGTTACCATCATTTCCTTGTGCTCGATTCTACATTTAGTTTAATAATAAATTCAATTAATAAAAAAATAGACAGTTTAGGTTAAGGATTTGCTTCCCTTATTATCCCTATTTCACTTTGAATTCAACTCAGAAATATGAGCAGCAGTTGGTGATAAAAACTTACCTGAAGCAGCTGCAAAGATGCTCCTGGAAAGGCCACAGGGCAAAGGAGTGTGGGTGGCAATCCCTGCTGCACACCTTCTTGAGGAGCTATATGTGGAGTGTTCATTAGAAATGTTGTTAAGGATGGTGCATAGGGTCCTTCAACAACTACCAGGAACTTCAATTGTGAACCTAGATACCGTTGATGTCTGAAATGAATTAATGTAAGGTAAAACATTTTTTATACATTACTATTGTTATCTACACTTAATTGTTTTTGAAAATTTGTCTTACATGTCGTTATCATGATACAGCTAGAATGTGGCGCGAGCAGGGATTTAGCAGGTCACTATAACTGGGTATCATAGATTATATGCTATATTTTTTACCAATAGGTTGAGGAAATCAGTCACACGATCACAAGATTAGTTTGGTAGAAGACTTTTCAGCTCATCTGATCTCATTTTTCCACAACACCCAGCCTACCATCCTCCCATCAAGCTGCTTTTTAAATGAATCCAGTGTCCAAGCCTCAACCACCTTTCCTGGCCAACAATTAATTACTCTCTGGGTAAAGAAAAACTTCCTGGTATTTGGATTGCAATTGCAATACAGTGACCAGAATTATGCAGTACACTAGGTGTGGTCTGACCAGAACCTATACAGCCTATGACATCTGGGGATCTAAACAGAACTGATTTAGCAATATAGTTCTACATCCTGTTTGCCTTGTTAATTGGAGTGGAGTCCTGTAATTTAGTGGTTAGAGCAATCGCTTCACAAGCAAGAGGACCTGGGCAGGACGAAATGTTGAGCATGTTTTCACACACCCATTTACCTAGAAGTAAATAGGAACCTGGCTGTTAGTCGATTGGCAGATCACTTTTCCGGGGGTAATGATTTCTTCAAAAAAATAATAATTTGGTCACTGCTTTGCGCAATTGGCTGCCACGTTTCAACTACAAAATTTACAGTCAATTCACTTTCACAATTCAAGGGCGAAACCTTGGGCAAGTTTCCTTACTCCACACGCCTAAAAATAATCCCTCCAAAAACAAAAACAATAATAAATTGGTCATTCTCAATCCACGACTGTTTGTGGGACATTGCTGTGCGCAATTGGCTGCCGCATTTCGCCACAAATATACAGTCAATTCACTTTACAGCACATTCTGTGAAGCGTTTTGAGACGTCTAGAAGACGTGAAAAACGCTGTATCAAATGCAAGGATTATCATTATTATTATTACTTTACAGTATAGTCTGTGAAGCGCTTTGAGAAGTCTAGAAAACTTGATAAGGCCCTATATCAAATGCAAAGATTATTATTATTATTGCTGCTCACATTGTTTTGACATGATGAGCAATGAGTCAACTAACACCACAAACACCCCTAGATATCTTTCAGATTCCTCCTTGGACATTCTATCCCATCCATGAAGTACTCATGTTTCCTGTTCTTGCATCCCATATGTATCTGTATTAAACTTCACTTGCCAGTTATCAGCCATTGTGTAAACCCTATCAAGCTCAATCAAGATACAGGTCACCGCTCATAATTAAAACAATTTTCTCTCTGATTCCTGTAGAATTGCTTTGCTTTATATTTCTATGTGTTGTTCCTTCCTACCTCTGTGACCTGCTAAAGCCATATCAACCTATTCGCGCTCGCCACTCAGTCTGCTTCACGTCCCCCGCCTGGCCCGCCCCACCATCAGCAGTCGGGCCTTCTGTCTCTCTGCCCCCACCCATTGGAACTCCATTCCAAAGTCCCTTCACCTTGCTCCCTCCCTTGCCTTCTTCAAGGTACTCTCAAGACCTTCCTCTTTGACTGCGCCTTCAGCCACCCTCCTACCCTCACCCTCCATGCCGTCCACTTGTCCTGATCCCAATCCCCTGCTCGGGTCCAAATCCCTGACTATCCAGCGCCTTGGGACGAACTCCCGATGTGAAAGGCACTATACAAATGTAATTTATTGTTGTTGTTGTGCACTGCAGCTTTGAAACATGTAAAAAAAGGATACCGATCATTTTTTGAAGAATCTGAGTTAGGGGTGGCTTCCTGAGATTCAGTCTTTATTTCACGAGAAAACATTTGCAAATGTGAATTAGCCACTGTTTTTGTCCCATGTTCAATAATATTTCTATAAAAAAAGAATAATTATAAAATTATTACTTCTGGCAACACCAAGACCTACAACGTAATTCAAATCTACACATGATTGGGTTCATTATATACACTAAACAAACGAAACATGCAGAACCCATCACTATGCTTAAAAGTATTCAAAGCAGAATTCCATTTATGCAATCTACATATAGGAAAGTCCATGTTTGGAATGGTATGGCCACTCTCTTCATTCTTTGGTCATTTTTCTCCTTCCCATCCTCAACGATCATTGAAAACGAGAATCATCAACAGAGCCCAACTCCAACTCGGGTGCCAAGCCAGGACCGTTAAGAACCTTGGGACGTCCTGCTGATGTGAAAGGGTTAATTTGTATTGAATAACACATTTCACATTGGGAGGATAAATCAAAAGCTTCACAGGATAAGTGTAGCGACCGTGTATTTTGTAGGCAAACCAGCAGCCAATTTGCTGTGCCACAAATCACTTTAAAATGAATGACCATAAGAACATAAGAAATGCTAGGCGATAAAAAAGACCAAGGTCCATCTAGTTGCCCTACCTGGTGGTTGCATGCACATATCCCGAACTACCTATGTATTTGGAGGATTGTTGACCAGGACACAGGGAGAAAGACCCTCTCTTTTCAAATAGTGCCATGGGACCTTTGATACCCACTGGAAAAGGCAGACAGGATCTTAGCTTAACCTCTCACCTGTAGGATGGTACCTCCAACAATGCAGTGCACGAGCATTACTCTGCTGGACTGTCAGCCTAAACTATACGAGTTCAAAGTCCCAACGTCTGCAACTTTCTAACTTAGAGGTAAGGATGCTACCAATTGAGCCAGGCTGACACCTGGACATTCCCTGAGGTGCAAGAGTAGGGGCTGCATTATGACTACCGGTCTGATAGGTAAGGAGAAGTATAGGGAAAAAAAGCTAAAATATAAACATCAATGGAAATATCAACCCTTTTCTGACTCAGCTAGCAGCAAAAATGCTGATGGTACACTTGTGTACTCACAAGAAACCTGGCCTCGAACACATTGACGAGTGCTCGACTGGTGAAGAAAGACTTATTTTCCCATTTTCTCGAGGATGTTCCACTGAATATATCGAAAACACAACCTCTGGAAGATAAGAAGCATGCTATTAGGGAAGTTATGGTGGAGAGATTATTTGCAAATAAACCAACTTCTTTTAAATAAGTTAGGGTGGCCAACCAGCCGCTCTTCTAGGGCAGAAGTGAAGCTTCTTGAAACAGGACCATCAGAGTCGTGACAGCTATGGTCGGAACACAATCTAACTCAAAGGTGCAATTGTGCACTTCTGCACATACATGGGAGTTGGCTATTTTTCATTAAAACTGTGTCTGAACCCACGCATGAGTGTCTTACTCTTTTTACTTGTTCCAAAGTGCTGTTGTGCAAGTGAAAGCTGCCATTCGACACTGCACAACCAAGGAACATCCGTGCATTCGCAGAACTTACTTCAGAAAGCAAGTAGCAAATACGAACACATGTACATATCTTCTGCCACAAGCACAGATTTCAATCAAAAAGCGATGGGAGGAAAGAGAAAAAGAGACACCCAGATCCGTGAGACTGCCAAGGTAACTCACAATACGAGCAAGCACATGGCACAGGACTTCTCCAGCGTGGGCCAGCCTACCAGTTAGGGCTTTAATTTGTAGGATTAAGGACCACTCTACATCTACAAATATGCCTTTTGATTATTTTTGACCTGCCTGATTTTCCTCCAAATCAGTTTAACTTCCTAGAGAACCATTAATAAGTTCTCCTCCTCCCTCAAACAGGAGAATATTTTAGGTAGCTAATGAATATGCTATATTAAAAATACTTGTACCTCTCTGTCACTATCCAATTTGCAGTTCTGCTCTTGAACTTTGGAAGGTTGGCCACACCTGAACCAGGTTACCCTTTAACCTACAATGGTCGAAGGATCACATAAAGGTTATCCCACACTGTGGGACTTTGTGTATTTTGTAAGCGAACCGGACAGCCAATTTGCACATAGCAATCACTAGACTTTACAGAAAATCTTGTGGAGTCCTGTAGCTCAGTGGTTAGAGCACTCACCTCGCAAGCGAGAGACCTAGGTTCGATTCGTGGGCAGAGCGAAACCTTAAGCAAGTTTCCTTACTCCACACACAAGCCTCTGTTTACCGAGCAGTAAGTAGGAACCGCTTGTTAATCAATTGGCGGATCGCTTTTCTGGGGGTAATAATAATTTGGTCACTTCAATCCATGACTATTTGTGAGACAGTGGCAATTGTGTGTCTGGTTTCACCCACAAAGAAAATCATTCTAAGGTTTATTTGTACTTCATATCTGAGCTATTGTTTTGCAACTGCAAAGATAAATAAATACCAATTAAACCATGGAAAATGGTATTCAAGTACAACCTTGTTAGTTTACCAGATAAGAGGAATCTATGTTTAAATGATACATATACTGTCATCATAATTGAAATGGATTTCATACATCATAATACAATTAAAGCTAAATAAATTTAAAAGTTTATCTTTAAAATCTGTTGCTCCAAAATTCCAGTCTTAGCCTGGAAGATTAAGTTGTTTTAAAATTTAAGATTGCGCAGAAACATTTATTTTTGTAAAATTCTCTCTCAAATTGGTAGCTTTTTTTAAAAAAAACTGTGACGACATATTTAAAAAATGTCCACAATCTCAACCTTTACAAGTTATTTTTATGTGAGGTTTTATACAGTAACTAAAATAATACAACTCACATTTATATAGTAGCCTTCATGGGGGTATCATCTTGGAGTACTTATTCAGCAATTTACAAGGTAAAAGCATTTCTTAAAATATACACATATATGACAACACACACACACACATTTTAAAGTCCAAATGCAAAAGGTTTCAGATGCCCTTCAGTGTTTATTTCGGAAATGCCTTCTCTTTCACAGAGGAAATAATTTAGGGATATCAGAACCTGATTCCTTCTAAATGACTGAGCGCACTTTTCTTCCAAAGTTATTTTACAAAGTCCACTAAAGTTCTTCATCAAAGCCAAGGACCAGATTCCTAATTGATACAAAGTACCAGCGGATGACTCACTACAATACAGAGAGAGTGATTTGAGAGGAAATTAGATAGCAACTGATGTCAGTTGGTGGAAAGTCATAATGATAATTAGATACTACTTTAGAGTTCAAGGGCTACATTTCACAGCATGGGCTCATGAAAGCTTCGTCTATTTACTGCATCTATATCTATTTTAATAAAAATTCTTTGACAGAACCATTAAATTTCACCTATTTATCAGTGGCCAATGCAGCCCATCTACATCCTCTAGTATCTCACCTCTCCTAAGCAAGGAAGTGAATGACAAGCACCAGGAGAGATGTGTAGGCATATATGCTGAGGTAGGTAAAGTGGAGCGGGAACTTTATCCTTGGAGTGAAAATGAAGCATTCTCTGTCTTTTTGCCTCTCCTTCCTGTCTATTTTTCTACGTACATATCTTCAGGCTATCAATGAATGTACAGGCCCCCAACATATGTAATAACTATCTAATTGTCCAACAATGACAGTATATATATATATATAAAAAGTAAGTAAATATATATAAATTATATACATGGTTATATTTCCTATAGTGCTTTATCATTTTGAAACACCTCAAACAGATTTACAATAATTCCTGTTTAGTGTAGCGACTGTGGATAATGTGAGACATATCATGTAAAGTTTGTTATATCTATAGTATTTAAAATTTACAAAACACAAAGGAAAAACAAATCAGGGTAGATTGCCATACACAAATGGTTAAAAAAAACATAGTTCTCTTCTAAGAGGAAACTTAATCCAACGGAAAATATTTCTTTTTTCGATTATTTTCATTATTTCTAATGTATAAATTGATGCATTAACTTTGTATTATTGCTGTATTGTAACGACCAGTTTCATTATCACAATATCATTATCACAAAGGCAGTAAACAGGCATTTAGTGCCCTCTGCTGACTCACTATAGTATCAGTGGTGCCCTTGAAAATTCTTCAGAGTACAAAAAATAAGCCTACATTCAATTATGGCTTGAGTACCTGAAGTAATTATTTATACTCTCCCAGCAACACCCCACCTCCACCCCTTTACTACAACACTGAGGGCTGTAAGCTAAGCTTGTTTTTAGACATTCAGCTACACATTTCATGTCTTTGTAGCAGAAACCTAACAGCTTCACAAATGCATCTACAACAACAAAAACAAAATTACATTTGTATAGCGCCTTTCACGTCGGGAGGACGTCCCAAGGCGCTGGACAGATAGAGTTACGGTCCCGAGCTGTGGGTCGGGGTGGGGGAGGGTGGAGGGCAGGGGGGGAAGCAGGGAGATCGAAAGCACGGTTGAAGAGGAGGGTCTTGAGGTGGGTCTTGAAGGTGGCGAGGGAGGGGGCGAAACGTAGGGACTGCAGAATGGAGTTCCAGAGGGTGGGTGCAGAGTGGCGGAAGGACCGCCCCCCGATAGTGGGGTGAGCGAGGCGGGGGACGTGAAGCAGGCCGGAGCCCACTGAGCGGAGGGATCAAACAGGGTGGTAGGGGATTAGGAGGTCGCAGAGGTAGGAGGGAGCAAGCCCGTGGAGGGCTTTGAAGGTAAGGACCAGGATCTTGAACTGTATCCTCTGTGTGATGGAAGCCAGTGGAGTTGGGCGAGGATGGGGGTGATAGGGTCGCAGAGCCTAGTGCAGGAGAGGACACTGGCTGCTGAGTTCTGGATGATCTGCAGCCTATGGAGAGAGGAGTTGGGGAGGCCGACAAGCAGTGAGTTTGCATAGTCAAGCCTTGATGTAATAAAGGCATCTACAAAATACAATTTCAGTTCTTCTAAAGTCTCTTGAACCATAAGCTAGAGTGCATCTATACTGACAATGTGGAGATTGAAGATTCCCTCTATGCCTGCAGCAGTCTCTATGGCCAATTTAAACCAAACAGCAATCATCCACCAAAACAGTGACTGAAACCTACAAACAGCAGCTGTTTTAATGTCAGAACGAATCAAAAAATGAACATATTGTATAGATTTATATTCAGTACTGAAGTTCTATAGCTTCCCAAATTACTAATGGTCTTATCACACTTTGCACCACTTAAAAGCGAGGCAGCTAAAATTCAGCATATGTTCTTTCTATTTAGAACAGGTACAGTTTAACCATTGTAAGCCATATAATTGAAAGTTTTCTGGCAAAGCTGACATCATATTGCCAAGTGCAGTCCTTTGCAGAATGCTTGTGAGGCATTAAACATTTGGTCTACTTGAGACAAGCTACTTTCAGGAGCAAAGCTATTGTACTTTTAAGGCCATTAAAGCCATTTTGTGTTCTGCTATAAGATAGTCACTATACTTTATAGCAAATCCTGTGAAGCCCTTTGAGACATCCTCCTGACCTGAAAGACACTATAACAAACGCAAGGATGATGATTATTATTATAATTGTTCCAAGTGTATCATAATTAAGGGCATTATAGTGAGGGGGAAAGCATCGAATGTAAAGCATACTTTGCAACAACAAACAAAAAAAATTGCCTTTATATACCGCCTTTCACGTCAAGAGGACATCCCAAGGTGCTGGTCTACAGGTAACACATACAGACTGCAAATTAAATGTTTGTAACAATTCACATTTGTAGTGGAAATGGCAGAGTAGAACAATATTTTTAACAAGTGGCAAACCATCTTAGGTCATGTATAATATTAAAGCAATGCATATAAAAGCGCCCTGTAATCACCTGTTTCAGCTCTTCCTTACAATAGATCTCTCTCTATTGCAATATGCCATTTTCTGTTTATTTCACCAGCTATCACTGTGGCTTGTCTCACTAAGATTGTGGACAGCTTTGAATAGTGGACAATGCCCAGCAGGCACTGGGTTGAGACCGCTCGAACATAGCCTCTCGTGGGGCTCCTGCAGCCAGCAGCAAGAAGACTTTCAACCCATCTGTCAAGGCTTGATTGAAACTTATTGCTCATACGTGAAAAGACAGTTAAACCAACTCAAAGTATCATTCCTTTCTCATTTCAGGCCTGTGGTACTATGTGATGATAAACCAAGTTGGTTAAAAATGCCTCAAGACTTCAAGTAAAGAACCTCTTGGATCCTAATGTTGGTCCCTGAGTTGACCTGCTGTACGCAGCTTGCCAATCCATTCAGTTATACTTGAGCCAGATGACAATATGCCCAGTATATCTGGTTCGATGGCCATTGGAAAATAGCACAAACCAAAAAGGATGATGTGACTGGCCCCAATCAGGTTCCCACTTGTCCTCCATAAATCGTTGCTGTAAAAACTGTATGGACAGTTAGCCCGCAATCGTGAACAGTACCTATCCTTAGTAACTAAATCCAAAATTGGCAAATCGTGGAAAGACTGCAGCCTCCTCTCAACTGAATTGGGTTGCAAACTATTTTTGTGTAAAACGACAGGTTGTAATGCTCTACCCCATGCACTCTACTCATTATATCAGAAGAGTGTTATTGCACATCATAAAATTAAAAATAATCTGTTATAAAAAAATTAAAAAGAACCTTGCTGATTTAATGTACTCTAAGTTACATTTAGCATTTCTCTTTGCATTCATTACTATTCCTACTGTTTCACTCACAAGTGTGCTAGTTTCTATAGTGTTACCACATTCAACTCTAAAAGGCATTATGCAATGGACAATCCCAATAGTAAAGTACTGTCTATTACCGGACAGCCTCATTGCTTCCAAGACTTCCACACTTGCTGGGTATAACAATGCAGTAATCGATTCTCTCCTAGACTCCCAAGCAGCCCTGAAGAGCACCGTGAATTGGTATGTGCACAAGTAAAAGAAAGGGCAGTGACCCGACTGAAGAAGCTCACAAAGTGACCTAAAAGTCGATAACCTGGAATAGAATTTAATATAACAGACACATGAAGAATTAGAAGCAGTTTAAGAAGGTAAAGAAAGATCATATATTCCTTTGGCCAACTTGCTAACAACTATTATTAATTTCAAATAAATTGTCCACTTCTTTCACTTTGGGGGCTGGAAAATGGTTCTTTCTTAAGTTACATTCCCGGTCACTACTCTGTTCTAAAAGATGCAGTGATCAATATTTCAGACCATAATAAAACACCTACCATCTGCTACATCTCTATTTATAGAACTGAGAAAATCATAAATTCTAAACTTACGTGTTTAGTTATTATGATGAGTTCCAAGGCAAGAACAATGTAACATATGGATTGTATAATCTCAATAAAATATTTTAAATATTTTCCCAATAATACTTAAGCATATAATTCACTGGCATGCAGGTACTGTGTTACAACTTTACACATGTGCACAATATTCCCAATTATGGTCAATTTACTGGGAGTTGTTGAATGCAGGATAAGCCTTTGACCAAAGCAAGGGGGAAAAATGATCAGTGAGCATATCTGGGGCCACTGTCACACGCTACCCGAAGGAACATTGATAGAGGTTTACAAACAAGTCACTTGCCCAGCCTCTTGACCCAAGGGGATATAGGTGACACAAAGGAAACCTAAAGAACATAAAAAGATATAACTGAAAAAAACCATGAGTGGAAGAAAGTAAAATGAGAATGGACAAAAAAGAGAACCGAGATAAAGCATTACAAAACTAATTTTATTTGGATATGCAGAACATTCCCTAAGGGTTTTTAAACTAGTATCACTTGACCTTACTCTCAATGAAAGGTTCCAGATTGCAGAATTTTTATGCCACAATTGTGTAAAAAAATTATTATTGCAGTACAGCTCAGAGGTTAGAAAATTATTGGCAGTATTATGTGTTTATTGCTCCATTGGGACTCTCATTACTACACTTTGAAGCATTCTAGTATTCCCTGTTATTTATATTCATGAAACTATTGGTGAATACTTTTCATCAGAGCATTGGGTAGTAAATTCCTCCACGTGCTTTGAGAACACTGGAATGAGTTGCAGTTGTTTTGCTACATGCTTCTGGTCTAGGTACCACAATTTGGGTACCAGGGCAGAGTCAAGTGCACCCACAAAATAACATCAATTGTGGGGGGATGCATTAATATTGCTGAGTGGCACAATTCAAGTTTCATACACTGCAACCAACGATGTGAGCAAGGCAGGTGAGAACAGTTTGCAGACTTGAGAATTTCATACTCAGTGTGAAGTATTTAATGTTTCAGTACCTCAGGAAGTATGGAATTCACCTTGGAATTTGCTATTACAATGCTAGGTCAAAATGTACAACATTGATTAATTCTTTCACCAATTAGTTCACACCACAGAGAGGGCACAAGGTTAGAGGAATAGAAATGTACTTGCTTCTGCCACTATTTATATACATTAATCACTAATAAGCTTTAAGTGAATGAAATATGAAAATTAAAACCACTTTTTAATCTCAATCTTTTGTTTTACTCTTAACAGGATTTTTGCTCCATTAGTTGAAACTTTTCCGTACATTACAAACTCTACCGTGTTCTTAGTTCGAACTCTGCAATCAATGATATAATGACTTCTATTGCTTCAACAGAAATCTAATTACAGAATGTTAAGAGGAATAATAGTCTCAAGAACTTCACACTTTTAAAGTAGGACAAGAATGGATAAACATTTTACCTAAATTATAATAGTGCAGGGAGTGCAGGAAATGGTGTCAGTGTGACATGAAAGCACAGAAGTTGGCCATTTTTTTTTTACCATGCAAAGTCAACTGGTCCATGCACCGAAACCTTTCTACAGGTCCTCAGGATACCTGCTTAAAAGCTTTTTACAATGGACTTGTATTGCACTGCACTTTTAAGGTTTTAAAGAAAAAAAATCTCTTCTAGGTCTATGTTAATGGTTTTTTCCATTAAACCCATTCAAAACAATGTACAACACAAAACCATTGCGAACCATACATTGTAAATTATTAATCTTCAAAATGTTGAGCAGACCAAAGCTGATTTATTTAACAAGAATTGTGCAGGAATTATTTTTAAACAAAAATTAACAGCATCTTTTTAGGTGTATTTCTTTCAGAGTGCTACACAGTTGTGCAATTTTATCTAGGCCTAGATAGCAATACAAATAAAACAGTTAACCCACTGATTTTTCCACCCTAATTCAAATAAATTTTTCCTTTTATTTGATATGTCAGCCAATTGTATTGACTTACCAGTCCTTCATTAAAATGCTCTGTATCCTGAAATCTGGGGACCATTGCAAACCATTATCATTTGACAAATTGTTGACTCCAAATCTTGGAAAAAGCTGCAGCCAAGGAAGGCTGGGATACATCCAATATCCCATACTCTGTTGAAAGGCACATTTTAGAGCAGGACTGTCATCGGGTTCCTTGATAAATAAACAAAATCAAAATGAAACAATGATGATCTCTCATTATTCTACAAAATAACTAAAAGCTTTCTGTGCTCACTATTAAAAATAGGCTAAATGTACCAGGGCAGTTACCAATTGCTTTGCTAAACAAATAGGATACAGAAACAAAATACAATTACTATATTAAAAAAAAGTAATAACGAAAAAATGGTTTATTCACAGATTGGAGATCTTTACTGTATAAGTTTATGTAATAAATGATATTTTCGTTGAACTTTTTAAATGAAGAAAGTCTGTTTATAAAAGACTCCAGTGGGTGTTTATTTTTAATACAGTAGCAAAGCTCTGATGATCCAAGACATGCAACATTTTACAGTGATAGTTGTTGAGGGCAGATAATTAGATTTCAGGCACATTTAATGTTTGGGAAGTGACAACTTCTCTTTTAGGAGGATCTAGCAGTCATGTGTTTCTTGTACCTGGAAGAAAAAAGAGACAGGGAAAGAAAGAGAGGGAGAGAGAAAGAGAGGATAAATAAGAGATACCCAGTCACTCTCAGGCCCAGCCCCATTTTATTTTAATAAATCATTTTCAATTGTCTAAAGGTTAGCTTGTTGTATCTGGTAAAGAAGCATTGCATCAATTTGGGCCTGCGCTGAGAAAGAGCGAATTTGGTCAGAATCTTCTCTGCTTCAGTTGAAAAAGCTCCAATTTAGTCTCTCTTCATAAGGATCATATTTTATTCCCAGTATATTTTGAAATGTTATTTCCCGTCTTTTATGGACTCTGAAAAATCAACTTCCAAATTTATGTAGTGCCTTTCACATAAAAACATCTTAAAGCATTTGAGAATGACAATTAAGACTGAATTTTAGATATTTCCCAAATCTGACACAATCTTAAATGTTAAGATGATTGTCTCCAGCTAGGAACACAAGAAATTCCAGGCCTCCTGTCTTCTTGCCCAATATAGAAGGCCCAAGAAACCAAGCTTTGTTTTCATAGAAGAATGACCAGGGAGAAGAGTATTATTCAATATATTTAAATCATTGGCAAGAGGAAAGTGGAATAATTCTTTGTTCTCAATCAATCAGAAGGATACCTCAATTTAAATGTATCTTAATAGGAGCACTGTGTGAAGGAGTATTGTATGCTCATCTTCCCTGCCATTTTAGATACAAATTAGGAAGCACACAAAACTGGAAAACCTCGACCCCAGCTGGGATTAGCTCTCGGATGGATATTTCTGACTTCCAGAATGCCAATCCATGATATTTTCTTATTGAACCATTCCCAAAACTAACCTTACCAGACAAGTGAAATGGGAGGCCCTAACTAGCAGGTCACACTTCATTGACTGAAAATACTGTAGTAACATCTCCTGTACAAGAGATTTTTTAAAAATATTTTGTTCCAGAGTACCAACATATAATCAGATTACAGCAAAGAAAGATGCCATTGGCCCATCATGCCTTTGCTGGTGCTAGTTTCAATGACTGGATCTTTGCACTCCAATTCCATTCCACTGCTCTTTCCTCCTACCCTTTCATATTATTATATTGAACAATTATCCAACTCCTATATATTTTTATAGATTCATTTGAAGAGTATTAGTAATCCTTATATTTGAGGATTTTTCGCTTTAACTTCCTCCTTCTTTAAGGAGTAGCTACTTCATATGTAAGCCTGGACCTCATCTATTCCCCAGCATTTATTTCTAAATAAGACTGAATCAGATTAAATGTTAGCATGTAAACCATTAAACAGGTATTTCATCTGTACTGAACAGATGCTAGGTGCTTTGTTTTCAAGACCATCACCTGTTTAATGTGAACCTCATCCGGTTTTACTGATGATCTGTGAATGCATCCAGTTCCTGATAATTTGGTGTTTGGTTTTGCCCAGGGGAAAGGAGTAGGTGAGGTAATCAGGATTCTGGTCTTTATACTCCAGTCAGTGAAGCAGTCTGAGTAAACGGGAGGCCACATTAAAGCGCTTTCCGCAGTTGCCTAAGAAAACAAAAATAAAATATGTATATTATATCTGAAGTAAGGCACAATTATTCTTCAAATTAATGTGATATATTCATGTTCAATTATTGATTGTGAAAAGAATTTCCTATATATTTGCACAAAATGAGAATCTTAAGCAACATGTAGGAACCGAGATCAGGTCCAGGAATTGTGCAATTGGCTGCTCCAGGAACAGAATTTCTCCCAAATTGTTCAATAACAGTTACTTAACACAACATTTAAGCATCACTGAAAAAGCATTGGGGGAAAACGGGCTATTATTTAGTATTTTAAAATTGAAAAGGGTGTGTGTAAAAAAAGTACCTAACCCAAGACAGCAAGAAGAGTAATGCTTTTCAAGCTATTTTCAGAGACACAAAATTGAGCCTGAATTTAAGAATTTTCCAAAAATATGCACAATCTTAATTTTTTCAAAAAAAGCTCACAACACTACGACCATGATCTCCATCACCAATACCCTCCCTCCAGTCCCTCTGATTGTCCAGGCAAAGGTAAGGTATCTGAGGTTGATGGGCACCTGTGGAATTGACCGCAGTGTACGAGTCAACAAGAAGTTCAAGAAAGGAAGAGGGCAGAAAACTGCCAAACAAAAAATGCTTCAGATTGTCAAGACTGACACTGAAAATTATACTGAGCAGAGCTTTGGATTGTGGAATACATAACTGCATTGATACATGTTTTGTGTGCACCAATATAATGATAAATGGAAGAAACACACTTAAAATTGTTGGGTGCAGGTTCAGAATTAATCAAAAATCACAAACATGTGCCATCAGTGACCCATCAATAGCAAAACATGGCAGGTAGTCAATTACATCACATGTACAGAATGCTATTTGTACAAGATATGCACAGTAAAGTATAGAATATCATTAATGTGCAGTATTCAGTCAATGCACCTTGAGCTGCTGTCCTTTTGTTCTCCAAACACAGAGACCGGATAAACGCATTGGCAGCAGATAAAGCTACAGAGAACATGCTGTAAAATCAGCATACAACTTATCAACTGAATGAGAAGCAGCCTTCACTGCATAAGGAAGTTGGCTTGGCATTGCAAAGTGTATCTGTGATGTGCATTAATTCCAGCTTACATTGATCTGCTTCCATGAAGAGGTCAAATGCAATGGCATTTCATTAGAGCATTTGGGTTCACCATCTATAAATCTCTTCAGCTCCCCTTTGATGTTATTATATTCAGCCTTCAGATACCTGTGCTCATCTTTCAGACAAGCAATTTCCACATTCAGTTTCTCATTTATTTGAAGCAATGCCTCACACACAGTGGTCACCTGAACACCTTCACAGCCTGAATTTATTTTGAAGATGTCCAGCAGAGTCTGTGCAGCCTCAAACCGTGCTTTTTCATCATCGTCACCCTCCTGATGGTTCAATGAGAATGATGCCATTACAGATCCTTCCTTTTGTATTTCAGGGCGGGTAAAAGGTACTTTGGCTCGTCTGAGAGTATCTTCCTTCAGTTTGTGACCATTCTTTCTCTTTATCCTCTTCTGTGGTGCCATGATGTTTGAAGGATAGCCAAACTGGATTCCATCACATAAAGGCTGGCCTAAGAAGTAATAAGGAAAAAATGCTTCATTTTATACTTTAAATCTTCCAAGAAAAAAGTGATAAGATAACATCATTGACTCCTAGATTGTTACAGCACAGAACAAAGCCATTTGGCCCACCGTGTCTGCACTGGTGTTTTTCTCCACATTAACCACCTACAACAACAACTTGCATTTATATTAGAGACATTACAGGATAATGTCTCGGAGCGCTTAAAGGTGGAGGAGCTTGACACCAAGCCGGGGAGGTGACCGTAAGCACAGTCAAAGAGGAAGGTCTTGAGAAGCAATCTGAAGATGGGCAAGGTGGAGGGGTTGAGACAGAGAATTTCAGAGTTTTGGGGAACAGTGGCTGAAAGCACAGCCGCTTATTTGTTGTAGTAGCTGTGTAGTGTTTAATGGAGTAATGCAGGCCAGGAATATCCCATCTGTGCTGAGTTAGCTGATCTCAGTCAGGACAGCAGTAAGGGTACTACGATGAGTGCCTTTGCCCCAGGTTTAGAGAGACAGAAAAATAGGAGACTAGGTAAAGTAGTGCCATGGACCCAAAATGCGAAATGACCTTCTGTGCTGAAAATAACAGAGTCCTTAACACTTCTTGAAGAAGAAAGTGAAAATAAAACTAATTGTAGGGTCAAACTCTTGGTGATATCCCATGCAATGACTGGACTGGTTGGAAGTTCCTTCCACACCATTCAGCTCCATCTATTTCATTAATGTTCATCTTGTTATATATCTAAGTTGCAATTTTCCCCCCATTATTTTCTATTCTCTCACTTCCTAAAATACATTTACAAGCAGAGTGCTTAAATGTGATTTAACAGAGTTGATTTAATTTATTCACATATAATGAATTATATGCAGTTTAACTCCACTTACATTGGCTGATTGGATACAAAATCAACACTGACAAAAACTGCAGCCATATCTCAAATATATATTGGTACATCTAATGGCTACATAATATTCAAACTGAAGATTTATGGAAGTAAGAAATCTCCACTTAGATAAGCCTTTAGTTTTCTGTGTTTCAGGACTTTCCAAAGTTTATGAGGAGAGCAATAATAATAATAATAATCCTTGCATTTGATATAGCGCTTTTCACGTCGGGAGGACGTCCCAAAGCGCTTCACAGAACATACTGCAAAGTGAATTGACTGTATATTTGTGGGCGAACGCGGCAGCCAATTGCGCACAGCAATGTCCCACAAACAGTCGTAGATTGAAAATGACCAATTTATTATTGTTTTGGGTTTTTGAAGGGATTATTATTAGGCGTGTGGAGTAAGGAAACTTGCCCAAGGTTTCTCCCTCTGCCTGGAATTGAACTCAGGTCTCTCGCTTGCAAAGCGAGTGCTCTAACCACTGAGCTACAGGACTCCACTATCAAATATTTGATATCCAATATCAAACGCATGGAGATTTCCCAGTGTCAAGAATAGAATGTGCGCCCTATATGTCAATTATATGACAGAGTGAATCAGATAGCCAGATAACCTTTCACTACGTTAAACTGAATGCTGTATTTTTAGAGCTGGGTATCTTACTTAAATCAATAACGATTAAAATTATAGAAATTTCACCATTAAAGGACAAAATATTGTTCTCAAGGACTGCTCGTGATAAAAAAAACATCCTAGAACAGATAAAGCTACACTATCTAATATGTGGGCACACATGTAAGGCTTTTGAAATATCAAATATTGCATGTTCCTGGACGCACTTCCCCACAACCTACTTGAATCTATTCAGTCCCATCTTCTGTGAAATTGGACTAGTCAAAGGTTCCTTGTTCCCAGCAGAAATCTGGATCAAGCAGGTATTCCCAGGATTCAATATTTCCAAGCCATTTTATAAATCTATGCGTATTAGACTCCTATGTTACTTTAGCTTTGTTGGAATCATAGTTCTTCCTTCAGTGTGTGCTAAACCTTTATAACTCACTGGTTAGCCCTCAGATGGAGTATTGTGCCAATTCTGGACACCACACTTTAGGAAGGATATCAAGGCCTTGGAGATGGTGCAGAGATTTACCAGAATGGTACCAGGATGAGGAACTTTGTTACGTAGAGAGACGAGAGAAGCTAGGATTGTTCTCCTTGAGCAGAGAAGGCTAAGGGGAGATTTAATAGAGGTGTTCAAAATTATAAGGAGTTTTTGATAGATAGGAATAAACTGTTTCCACTGGCAGGTGAGTTGGTAACCAGGGGACATAATTCAGGTTAGTTGGCAAAAGAACCAATGGGCATATGAGGAGAAAATATTTTGAACATTTTAAGCGCTCTGGGACGCTACCCTGTGTGCTTTGTAAATGCAAGTTGTTGTTGTTATATATAGGAGTCCTGTAGCTCAGTGGTTAGAGCACTCTCTTTGCAAGCGAGAGACCTGAGTTCAATTCCAGGCAGCTCAGGGCGAAACCTTGGGCAAGTTTCCTTACTCCACACGCCTCATAATAATCCGTCCAAAAACAATAATAAATTGGTCATTTTCAATCTACGACTGTTTGTGGGACATTGCTGTGCGCAATTGGCTGCCGCGTTCGCCCACAAATATACAGTCAATTCACTTTACAGTGTGTTCTGTGAAGCGCTTTGGGACGTCCTCCCGACGTGAAAAGCGCTATATCAAATGCAAGGATTATTATTATTATTAGAGTTCTTATGGTCTGGAATGTACTGCCTGAAAGGGTGGTGGAAACAGATTCAATAACAACTTTCAAAAGGTAATTGGATAAGTATTTTAAAAGGAAAAAATTGCAAGCTATGAGAAAAGAGTGGGGGAGTGGGACTGATTGTGAAGCTCTTCCAAAGAGCCAGCATAGGCACAATGGGCCGAATGGCCTCCTTCTGTGCTATAATATTCTATGATTCTATGATTTTATATGACTGTCAAGTAGAACACATTCTAATTTTAGGTTTCAAAATCAGCAACAAGCACCCCCTAGGTGAGGTACAGGGTGGATTAAAGAGTAAAGCTCCCTCCGCTCTGAGAAAAATATGGCTCAACTCCAAGCTTAGAAGAAAAACATTTTACAGCAACAGTAAGATGTTCTGATTTACGACAACGGCCAATTTTGCACCCTCTGAATGATTGCCAATTTGGCTTCAAGTATGGGCAGTGTGGTGCCATGGCACAGGATTGAGAATATACAGCACACATCACTAAAACACTTAAAACCAGCAGATTAAGCTGCTTTCAAACTCAATATCCAAAATTATATTTACATTATTCTGAACTCACTGCACCAACAGTAAACGGTTTCTCCTTCACTTTCCCCACTGTAGCCTCAACAAGATGGATTCAGACACAAAATTCTGCAGGGAAAGTAGCTATTTTATGTGTGCTGTACACTTCTGCTGGCAGAAGAAGCATTCGGAATTTATATTGCTGACTGAATGACTTTTATGTTGCTGCGTTTGTTGCTGTAGATAGAACATAATAACTCAAAACTACAGAACAAGGAGAGAACATTCAACCCATCAAGCCTGCTCATTTTAAATGATTTTACACAATCCCAATCATTATCAAATCTTCCCAACATTCATTCATCTCATGCGAGTCATAACGTATCTCCTGAGCGTCACTAATTATGAGTGATTTAACCTCTAGGATGATAAACTCTGAAATTTCACTTTAGCCTCTCAAGGTAAAACTCTAATCCATCAATGTAACTGACAACCTTTAATAACTAACTGCATTACATTTTATATCTATTAATGACCTAAACTTGGGTATAGGGAGCACAATTTTAAAGTTTGCAGATGACACAAAACTTGGAAACATAGTAAACAGTGAGGAGGATAGTAGCAGACTGCAGGAGGATGTAGACAGACTGGTGAAATGGGCAGACAAGTGGCAGATGAAACTTAAGAGAAGTGTGAACTGATGCTTTTTGGGAGGAAGAATGAGGAGAAGCAGTATAAACTAGATGGTACAATCGTAAACCGGGTGCAGGAACAGAGACCTTGGGGTTCACGTACACAAATCTTTGAAGGTGGTAAAAGAAGTTGATAAAGCTGATAAAAAAAAGCAAATGGGATCCTTGGCTTTATAGAGACACAGAGTACAAAGGCAAAGAAATTATGCTAAACTTTTATAAATCACTGGTTAGGCCTTAGCTGGAGTATGATGTCCATTTCTGGACCACACTTCAGGAAGGATGTCAAGGCCTTGGAGGGTGTAAAGGAGATTTACTAGAATTATACTAGGGATGAGGGACTTCAGTTATGTGGAGGCTAGAGAAGCTGGGATTAGCTTAGATCAGAAAAGGTTAAGAAAAGATTTAATAGAGGTATTAAAAATTTTGAGTTGTTTTGGTAGAGTAAATAAGGAGAAACGGTTTCCATTGCTGCTAAAATAATCCAAATAAATTTGTCAAACTTAATGATTTGCAATACCATGATGTGGATGTTACCAAAATCATTGGGCAGCTGTGTTCAGAGTTCAGATGAGCTACTTCCAGTCTAAGATTTAGTAGATGATAGAGATTCAGAATGAGCACTTAGCAGCCAAATGCAAATGCACCGCATATACTGTTCTAGCCTGTGCAGCTGGCACATTTGAGTAGTACAGTTAAATCGTAATGGTTTCTTAGTCCCAAATAATCCTAAATCCTATGCAAATCATCTCCTAACTCGCAATGCCCCGACCACACTTACCCACTGCATTGAAGTACCACATGTGCAGTGTTCCATTTGAAACGATCGTGGGAAAGAAAGTCTTGACACGTCACTGCATGTGCACTTAACGGCTGCATTGAAGTATACATGTTCAGTTTTCCACAAAAAAAGTCTTGACCCGTCACTATACGTGCAAATAGCCGCTGCATTGACGTACACATGGGAAGTGTTCCATTTGAATAACAATAAAATTACATTTATGGAGCGTCTTTCACGTCGGGAGGACATCCCAAGGCGCTGAAAGAAGGATGTGAAACAAAGTCTTGACCCGTCTCCGCATGCGCACTTATTGACTGCAATGATATACGCTTGTTCAGTATTCCATTTGAAATAAGTGCGGGAAATGAAGTCTTGACCTGTCACTTGGCATGCGCACTTACTGGCTGCAGTGATGAAGTGCAGTACAGTGAACCCCGTTGAAACAATTGTGAAAAACAAGGTCTTGACCTGTTATCATAGCATCAGGAAATACAGGTACAACTAAATGCAAGTCAGTAAACCTTATACTTGTTTATTGTATTGTTATGTGTCAGTTGCATGAAATCCAATTTATACATCACTTTGCCTGTACTCAGACTTTGTGTAATTTGTTCTAAATGGTACAGTCCCAATTGATACTACCTTTTACCTGTAATAATTAAAATAACCCTGTGAAACAGACATCAATTTATATGTCTATATAAATGCCTTTCATATAGAGAGAATATCTCAAGGTGTTTTACAATGACTGAGTATCAGCTGAAGCTGAGCAGTGCGATGGGGGCAGGGGTGTGTGTGTTGGTGGGGGTGGGTGGGAAGAGGAAGGGATAGGATACGAGAGTGTAGTTAATGAGGTAAGTTTTGATAAGGATTTTAAAAACAGAAAGGGCGAGGGTGAGGTAGCCAGAGTTTGTAAGAGAGTTCCAGACAATAGGAGCAAAGTCTCTGAAAACTCACCTGCCGATGGTTGGCTAGACTGGGTAGGGAGGCATGAAGTTAGCCAGAATTGGCAGAGCGGAAGGAATTATGTAGATTAGTCACAGAAGATTGCAGAGAGAGGGGAACAAGGTCATGGAGTTATCTGATGGCAAAAGGTTCTTAATGTCAATCTCCTTTGGGGATAAGGAGTCAATGGATGAGTTTCAGTTAACAGCAAAATTACATTTGTAAAGCGCCTTTCACATCGGGAGGATGTCCCAAGGTGCTGGACAATCGGCGTTTCGAACCCGAGCAGGGGGTCAGGATTGGGGAGGGTGGGGGCCAGGAGGGAAGGAGGTTGACCAAAGGCATGGTCGAAGAGGACGGTCTTGAGATGGCTCTTGAAAGAGGCAAGGGAGGGGGACGAGGCAGAAGGATTGCGGGATGGAGGTCCAGAGGGTGTGGACAGAGTGGCTGAAGGTCCGCCCGTCAATGGTGGGGCGGGCAAGGTGGGGGACGTGAAGCAGCCCGCAGCCTGCTGATCGGAGGGAGCGGGCAGGTTGGTAGGGAGTTAGGAAGTTGCAGAGGTAGGGGGGAGCAAGGCCATGGAGGGCTTTGAAAATGAGAACCAGGTTCTTGAACTGTATCCTCTATATGATGGGAAGCCAGTGAAGTCAGGCGATGGTGATAGGGTCAAGGAGTCTGGTGAGGGAAAGAGCACGGGTTGCAGAGTTCTGGATGATCTGCACCCTATGGAGGGAGGAGTTGGGGAGGCCAAGAAGCAGGGAGTTTGGGTAGTCAAGCCTGGGTGTTATGAATGCGGGTATGAGGTCTTGGCGGCCTGTGGTGTGAGACAGTGGCGGAGCTGAGCAATGTTGCGGAGGGGGGAAAGGCGGAGGGGGTCATGGCATGGATGTGGGGTATAAAGGACAGTTGAGGGTTGAACACGACGCCGAGGTTCCGTATTGGCTCCGTGAATGCATCCATGGAGGGAAATACTGTCAGCGCCTGAAGTAAGGAGGCGCTGACGGGAACCAAGCAGGAGGGCCTTGGTCCTGTTGACATTCAACTGCTGGAAGTTAGCTCTCATCCAGGACCTGATGTCCGACAGGCAGTCAGTGAGGACAGCAGTGGTCCTGGAATTGAGGGTGGAGGCAGAGAGGTAGAGTTGGGTGTCATCCGCATACATGTGGAAGTTGATACCATGTCTGCGGATGATTTCACCAAGGGGGAGCATATAGATATTGAAAAGAAGATGGCCAAGGACAGAGATCTGAGTGATGCCACATGTGAGGTGTGGGGGCTGGAGGAGGAGCCGTTAGTGGCGACGAAATGGAGACGGTGGGAGAAGTAGAATTCCCACCAGGCAAGGGAAGGACCATGGACATTGAGCTGAGTGGAGGCTAGAGTGGTCGATAGTGTCGAAGGCAGCAGAGTGGTCGAGGAGGACAAGGAGAAAGCTCTGGTCACAGATGTTCAGAGTATCGTTAGTGACTTTGACCAGGGCTGTTTCTGCGACAACTCGTTCCAGAGCCTTGGAGAGGATTGGGAGGTTGGTGATGGGGCGATAGTTTGAGAGTAGATATGGGTCCAGGGTAGGTTTTTTGAGGTTGGGGGTGATGACAGCTGTTTTTCAGGGAGTGAGGTAGTAGCAGAAGTGGCAATGTTGTGGAGAGGGTTAATAGTGGTCTTAGTCAGAGCCTGGATGAAGGGTTTTAAGAGAACTGAGGATCGGATGCTGAGGTTGAAGTGAGTAAATAGTAATATGGTTAATGCCCAAGATGAGAAGATGTTGATGGAAGCTGAGAATAGCCTCAGAGTAATCCATCTCTGATAGGAAATCTGGTAGGCAGTAGTAATAGAGTCGAGGGTAGAGGCAGAAATGTAGAGTCAGGTGGTCAATAGTGTCGAAGGTGACAGAGAGATTGAAGAGGGCAAGGAATCACGGGGAGGCCTGGTTGCAGATGTTGTTCCTGACTTTTACCAGGGCTAGCTTGGTACTGCGGGCAAGGCAGATGTCAGATTGGAAGAATGACGATTGGATTGAAGAAGAAAGCCAATTTGCACACAATGTCTCACAAACAACCATAAAGTGAATAATCAATTTTATTTGGGGGATTGTTGGCCAGTACACCAGGAGAAACTACTTTCTCTTTACAAACAGTTCCATGGGATCTTTAACATCCATCATCACAGGCAGAGAGGGCCTCGATTTAACATCTCATCCAAAGGACGCCACCGCTGACAATGCAGCGCATGCCCAACACTGCACTGGAGTATCAGCTTAGATTTAATGAGCTCCAAGTCCCGACATGTGGCTTGAACCCGCAACCTTCTGACTCAAGAGTTGACAGTCCTACCAATCAAGCCAGATTGACACACTGGAAAGGGTTCAAGGGAGGAGGTGATAGGATTTCATGTGGGAGATAACAGAAATAAGACGGCGTCAAAGGTGTGAAGGATGGAGGTGGGGGGGTAGAGGAAATAGAGCCAGCTAACCATATCTTATTGATTTTCGACACCAGGATGTTCATGACCTCCTCAGTGTTGAAGGTGAACACTTGTGGCTGCCGTCCAGTACTGAAGCACGGATGCTTACAAGATGCTTATGGCTGAACTCAGGAAATAAAGGACACTAACATAAATTACAATTTACAATTATACAGCACCTTTCACATTAGGAGGACATCTCAAAATGATTTTTTACTGGATTACTGAACAGACAACAGGAATTGATGAGACAAAAAGTGAATAGCATATTTTGACAGTCTGTCGTATAGAATAGGCTAATTTGCAGCTCATGCCAATGACCTTGACCTCTATGGTACTCAAAAAGCTTTATACAATAAAGCTCAGGACCGTTAGCACACACTAAGAATAGAACTGTTCTGCTGTTTACAGTGACTATTTCTGATGACAATGCAGTAATAACCATTGTCCATTTTAAACTCCAACACTATAAGGTTCAATGAAGAATCAGATCAGTTAGTATCAATGTACTGTGCACATTTTCCAATTCATCAAAATTAGAGAGTGTAATGGGGGTGGGGGGGAGGAGAAAAGGCAACAAGCAGAGCCCAAATGACCTACATGGAGATGGTAGTAAAATTGTAGAGGGCAATGCGTAAAGACTCTCGTTCAATTGGCGAGTAGTAGAAAAAGATTTGCAACATGTTACCATTTTTTTAAAAAAAGCCAGATCATTTAGTGTTGTTTATAGTAGGGAATTATAATAGAAATGAATAAGCATTAGGGACGTTGGGATTAAAGCTCACATGTTGGAAATCTCTCAAAACCAGATCAAAAGCAAATAACAAGTTATTCTTTTTTTTGTGTGTGTGGGGGTGGGGTGGGGGGTGGGAAATAGCACACACATAACAAAGGCGAGCATTTTACAAGGTGCACCAATAACTTCTGAAACAACCAGCAAAACACAGCTCAGGTACCATCCCCATCCCTTCACTAAAAACCCTGTACCCAAAGCCCAAGCTGCTGCTGCTGCTGCTGCTGAATTAAATACCCCCCACACAACTCCAAACCCCGCAAAGCAAAACCGAATGAAGTGAATGAAAGAAAAAAAAACACAACACATGAAAAACCCGCAAAGCAGCTGATCCGATGACATGTGTGGGGGAAGAGAGAAAGTGGGAGAGAGGAGAGAGAGAGAGGAGAGGAGAAATGAGAGAGAGAGAGAGAGGTTAAACAACATCTTTAAACAAAATCCTGACATACAAATCGCCCACAAACAGAGAGAGAGAGAGACACAGAGAGACAGAGAGGGAGGGAGGAGGATGGAGTAAAGCAGTGACAGGACCTGGGGTGTTGGTGTTGGTGCTGGTGCTGTGGGGCTGTGGGCGGCCGGGCCTGGCCCTGGCCCCGGCCCCGGCTCCGGCTCTCTCGACCTTGAGCGGGAAGAGAAGGGGCACATTGTTCATGTAGGTCTTCTTGCCGCCCGGGAAGTGCGCGTCGCACACTTTGTGGTGGGCTTTGGGCTGCCACACGCTGAACTTCCTGCGGTCCAGCCGGGCCAGGTGGTGTATCCAGGCCGCCCTCAGCTGCTCGTTCTTGGGGAAGACGTGGAAGGAGAGCTCCTTGTTCTTCAGGGTGTTGTTGAAGCAGCCCGGCACGCAGCAGTACGTGCCCACCATGGCCGGCCGCTCATTCGGTCGCCAGGGCAGCGGTAACTGGGGGAGGGGGGGGAACTCACCTCCCGGCCTGCCACGCGCTCGCCGCGCCTGCGCGCCGCGCCCTCACACAGCATCATGGGATTTGTAGTCCTTCCTTTGGTGGAGAGAGCCCCAGGGGGCTGACAATTTTCTATAGTGCATAGAAATAATAATGATAATAATAATAATAATAATAAACGGTAAATTATTCCTTGGGGGAGAGCTACGGGGGAAGGGGGTGGGGGGGGAGCTGAGCTAGATCCATTCCATTCCAACGATCCATCACTGGGATTTCCATGTGTGGGTGGGACGCGTGGAAATCTCAGCTTGGTTTGGGTACTCGGAAGCACGGTGATGGGTTTCCACATGCGTCAGACATGCACAGTGTCTTGGAGCGCTTTAAAGTGGCAGAGCTTAATGCTGAGCCAGGGAGGTGTCAGTAGGCACTGTCAAAGAGGAAGATCTTCAAATGCGATCTGAAGACAGAGCAAGGCAGAGGGATTGAGGTAGAGAGTTATCGACTGAGCCAGAGTCACCAACTGAGCCAAGCTGACACCAATTGGGATGTTTAAAAGAGATATATTTACTGTGGACTGAACAGAGATTCATACATAAGCGGTGTTGAGAACAGTCGGGCACAGAAACATTTGCCATGATCTAATGATCTGGTGCAATGGGCTCACTGCCACTAAACCAAACACTAGCCCCAAAGTAGCCCAACATTAGGTGTTGCCTCCTATAAGTAGCAGAGTGGCCAATTTAGGTTAGTGCTTTTAAACCTGTATAAGAACAACAACAAGATTATATGCGTATAGCGCCTTTCACGTCCAGAGGATGTCCCAAGGCGCTGTACAGTTTGCAGCATTTCAGACCCAAGCTGGGCTCGGGGGTTGGCTGGTGGCATGGTTGAAGAGGAAGGTCTTGAGGCGGAACTTGAAGGAGGCTAAGGAGGGGGTGAGGCGGAGTGATTGGGGGATGGAATTCCAGAGGTTGGGGGCAGAGTGGCTGAAGGCTTTCCCACCAATGATGGAGCTGGTGGGTTGGAGGACGTGGAGCAGACCAGAGCCGGCTGAGCGGAGGGAGCGGGTGGGTTGGTAGGGGGTTAGGAGGTCACAGAGGTAGGGTGGGGCGAGGCCATGGAGGGCTTTGATGTGAGGACCAGGATCTTGAACTGGATCCTCTGAAGGATAGGGAGCCAATGGAGTCGGGCGAGAATGGGGGAGATGGGGTAACGGAGTTTGGTGCGGGAGAGGACACGGGCTGCAGAGTTCTGGATTATCTGCAGTCTGTGGAGGGAGGAGTTGGGAAGGCCGACAAGCAGGGCATTAGCATTGTCGAGCCTGAAGATGATGAAGGCATGAACAAGAGTTTCAGCGAAACTTTGAAGAAAGTCTTCAAAGGAAAGAAAAAAACACTAAAATGTCGTTCAGGTTTAAATTACAACTTTAAAAACCTAGACCAGGTAGTATTTCCACCCGCAGCGCTACAAAAACTGGCCTAATTGGGCGGGTTTTTGTTGTACTACGCGCGATATTGGGCGTGAAGCCGCCCCACGTGGCCGCACTGCTGCCGGCGAGGTGGCTGCTCTGGAGCTTGCAGTGTCGGGTCTGCCCGGCCGGGGGGCGCTGTGGGCTGTGTGCGGCGACGAGAGGAGCGGCGGCAGTGGCTGTTGGCCCAGGAGTGATCGCTCTGTTGCTGCGTGTGTGGCCCCGGGTTCACGGCTGTGGTTTGCGGCCCTCAGAGTCCCAACTCCCCGACTGTGCCGTTCGTCGACGTTGGTCTCTTTTTTTGTTTGCTGTCCGTCTGCCGGAGAGAGGGATCTCCACCCAAGAAGGCCGAGATGCCGCGGATTATGATCAAGGGAGGAGTGTGGAGGAACACGGAGGTGAGAGGCCGACAGGCAGGGAGCAGGCCCCGGTCACCCCAACAACCACCCCCCCCCCCCCCGGGGCGACTCCCGGCCTCAACACCAGTAACACTAGTCAGGAAAGGTCCGACAATAGCCCCCACCCCACCAGACAGGGTTTACACACTGATAACAGATAATAAGATAATAATAATAATAATAAGGTGGCGCTTCCTCTCTGCCCTCAGTGTGAAAGTTGGTTAATGGAGGTGTGTGGATGTATGTGTGTGTGTGTGTGTGTGTGTGAAGGGAGACCGGTGAGAGGGAGGGTTTGGGGATCGGTTGGGAATGGGAAGAGGTTGGGGTGAGGGTTGGGTGGGGGGGGGGGGGGGGGGCAAAGGAGCACAGAGCTGTTCAGTGCACATAACAATATCTGGACTTGGTAAATGCAATTGGTTAGTGTCCTCACGGAGGAGTGTGTCCTCACTTCTCCAGCTCCTCCCATCCGTTTTTTTTTTGAGCATTGCCTGTTATGACTATTCTGCTGCTTTGATGGACTCTCGTTCCTTGCGCGGCGACTGTTTTAATGTTACGCCCGCGTCACGCGAATGACTTGGGCCGAGGTTTCGGCTCGCACGCACGAACCAAAACTCCCGTGCGGGCGTTTGTCACCTCCCGCTTGGATTACGCTTCTCGCCCGGTCTCCCCAACTCCGCCATTCACAAGATCCAGCTCATTCGCAACTCTGCCGCCCTCGTACTGACCCGAACCAAGCGCCGTAACCACATCTCACAGCTCTGGCCAGGCTCCACTGGCTCCCCAGCACCGAACAGATCGACTTCAAGATCCTCACTCTCGTGTTCAAATCCATTCACTCGCACGCTCGGCTCCACCATCGGAGATTGCGCTTTCAGCCACTTCTCCACAAAACTCTCAAACACTTTCCCTCAATCCCTCCGCCTTGTCTCCCCTCTCCCCTCTTTCAAGTCCCGCCTGAAAACTTTCCTCTTCGACCGTGCTTATGGCCACGTCCCCCCAGCTCGGAGTCGGGCTCTGCCACTGTTAAACGCTCTGAGACGCTACCCTGCATGGAGGGTGCTATATAAGTGCAAGTTGTTGTTGTTGAGTTTTGAAGGGCACCAGTCTTACTTGTCTCAGCAAACTTTGGGGGAGAGAATAAAGCTGCTGTGCGTTTTTTTTATACAGTTAGGTTAAGAAGCTGTTCGAGTAGTGTATTTCACAGTGATTTGACTCTGCATTCACTACATTTTACAGTAATGCTGCGAAGCATATTGGGATATCTTCATTGTTTGCTAAGATGTATCAGATACAAGGATTATTATTACATCTTATCAAACATTGAAGACATCTCAATATGCTTTGCAGCATTACCCAGTTCCCTCTTAGTGAGTAAAGGTGCCACTGATCATTCTAGGCATCAGTGGCTGTACATTATTTTGTGATCCCTGATGGGAAACCTTTCCCCGTTCTCAATTAGTCCAATTCCAGAAATATTTCAGTCTCACACCTCCACTACTTGGAGAGCACTGACTACATTAAACTTAAACTAACTATGCTGCCAAAAGGCCAGTAGGGGAGATAGGCACTGTAACCAAGTCATTACTGATGCTTGGATCACCAAAATACATTATACAGTGGATCATGTGAAGCCCTTTCAGACGTGCTCAGTACATGAAAGGCAGTATATCAAAAATAAGGATTCCTATTATTATCTCTTACATGGATCAACCTTTGTAACTATGGATTAGTAAAATTATACTTGAACTTAACTACAATTCTGAGAAGTGGTCGTGAGGATCAAAGGATCACAAGTTTGGATTCCGATTTGTGCTCTGTTACTTGATCTCGACCAGGATGCAATTCGGGTAGTATAATTGATTTCAAGCAAAGGAAGAAAGGGGAAAAGGGTTCCTAGGCTAACATTTATGCCGCTTTAAATCCTGAAATATTTCCAGTCAGAAGATTGATCACCTTAAAAATATTTTTAAAAAATCCAATTTCTTCAAAGCGAACAGGGTGAGAAACCTATTGTTTTTTTTGTATTTTTAAAAGAAGCCTGAATAAACTCTTGAATTAAATTGACCTGCATTGCATCATGCAACGTCTTAAATATTTAATTTGACAGTTTCTAACTCAGATTGCTTTAATTAGGGCAGCTCCAACTGTATTTAACTTTGAGGCCTTAGAGGAAATGGTATGTTTGGGTTACTTCTTTCTCTTTGAGCGCGTCAGCAATAATCAAGGCAAAGAGGAAGCTGGGAAAAGTTGGGAGAAGACTGGACTCATTAAAAAAGCAGCTTGATGCTGTGATGGGAGGGTCGGTATGGTGGTGTTATGTAAGGATGAGATCAGATTGGGCCAAGGGTATTCATCCAAACTACTCTTGTGAACAGTACTGTAAATCTTTATGGACTATTTTCCTGTAATGCACAAAGAGCAACATTCAAGTGGAGGTACTGACATTTGAGCGTCACTCTTTCGCCCACAAAATACACAGTCAATCCACTTTACAGTATATTCTTCCCCATGTCCAAACCATGACCCATTCTGCCTTCCCTCATCTCCGTAACATTGCCTGACTCCACCACTACCTCACCCCTCAGGCCGCTGAAACTCTTGCTCATGCTTTCATCACCTTCAGGCTCGATTATGCAAATGCCCTTCTTGTCGGCCTTCCCAACTCCTCCCTCCATAGGCTGCAGATAATCCAGAACTCTGCAGCCCGTGTTCTCTCCCGCACCAAACTCCGTGACCCCATCTCCCTCACTCTCCCCCAACTCCATTGGCTCCCTATTCTTCAGAGGATCCAGTTCAAGATCCTGGTCCTCACCTACAAAGCCCTCCATGCCTCGCCCTACCCTACCTCTGCGACCTCCTAACCCCCTACCAATAATCCCTCCAAAACCAAAAACAATAATAAATTGGTCATTTTCAATCTACGACTGTTTGTGGGACATTGCTGTGCGCAATTGGCTGCCGCGTTCGCCCACAAATGTACAGTCAATTCACTTTACAGTGTGTTCTGTGAAGCGCTTTGGGACGTCCTCCCGACGCGAAAAGCGCTATATCAAATGCAAGGATTATTATTATTATTATTATTACCAACCCACCCGCTCCCTCCTCTCAGCTGGCTCTGGCCTGCTCCACGTCCCCCGACCCACCCGCCCCACCATTGGCGGGAGAGCCTTCAGCCACTCTGCCCCCAACCTCTGGAATTCCATCCCCCAATCACTCTGCCTCACCCCCTCCTTAGCCTCCTTCAAGTCCCACCTCAAAACCCTCCTCTTCGACCATGCCATCAGCCACCCCCCCTTCCCCTCCCTTCTCCCCCACTGACCCCAGCTCGGGTCTGAAATGCTGTACACTGTCCAGCGCCTTAGGACGTCCTCCCAACGTGAAAGGCGCTATACAAGTGTAAATCTTGTTGTATATCTTGTGAAGCAATTTGTAACATCTTGCTGATGTGATAAGGTACTGTATCAAATGCAAGGATTATTATTATTTTTACTCTTTGTGCTCCTCCAATGTTCACTTTTAAAAGCTATTTCTTTATTGATTTTGTTTCGGCACATGGGCAAGAATTGTTTTCCCAATCAACCATTGCCTAACTAATGCCAGCAAATCCTGAGAACTATGCCTGAATATCAGGTGACATTGCTCTTGGCATTTAGCCTGCAATCAAATGGTAAAAGGATTGTCAAAGTTTCCACACCACTATATGGAAACAAAAGAGATCAAGAATAGCTGCTCAGCCACCATGGTTCTGACTGGCAGTGGCAGAAAAGATGAGTGTAAATTGTCTCTTAAGTTACTGGCAAGCTTGACCTTGCTCTACAAGTTACCACACATAAACATAACCAGTAGAGGGAGCAGTGGAGACCAAGAGCAGGAATCCTGACTGATTTTCATCTCCCTGTGAGCTTAGGAAAACCGACGGCAAATTAGCCTCCCCGTGTAGCCCTAATGGTGTCTAGCAAACAACACGATCTGGGATTTGAATCAGTGAGCTGCAGCTTTACGCACTAACCATCTGTCTACTCCCTTCAGCTAAATGTTAACAAAATTGAAGCAATCGTATTCACCTCTCACCAATCTTGGCTTTCTGCTTTATCCCACATCTAGTTGTTTTTTTCTCATCTTCAGAGCATTACCCTTTTATGTTCTAACTAATCCTAATAAATAAATAATAAATAATAATAACTAAACTAATAAATGAGTTTATTTCCAGGCAGGTCAGGGCGAAACCTTGGGCAAGTTTCCTTACTCCACACGCCTAATAATAATCCCTCCAAAACAAAAAAAACAATAATAAATTGGTCATTTTCAATCCACGACTGTTTGTGGGACATTGCTGTGCGCAATTGGCTGCCGCGTTCGCCCACAAATATACAGTCAATTCACTTTACAGTGTGTTCTGTGAAGCGCTTTGGGACGTCCTCCCGACGTGAAAAGCGCTATATCAAATGCAAGGATTATTATTATTATTATTATTATTAATCCCCCCTCCCCACCCCATCCATTTGTCACTTTGGTGTCCTCTCAAATGTCAGGTCAGGCAGCATCTACCTCGAGCTTGTGCTACGGCTCATTGGAACAGCGTAGGAGATCGTAGATGGAGAGGTCAGAGTGCAAATGGGAGGGAGAGTCAAAATGGCAAGAAACTGGAAACTCAGGGTTGTGCTTGTGGACAGAACGGAGGTGCTCGGCAAATCAATCACCCAATCTGTGTTGCGTTTCCCCAATGTAGAGGAGACCACATCATGAGCAGCGAATGCAGTAAGCTACATTGGTGGTAGTCACTTGAAATCTGTGTTTGAGGCCCTGGACAGGGGTATGGGAGGACGTGAAAGGGCAGGTATTGCACCTACTGAAAGGTGCCGGGTAGGGGAGAAGAACTGGTGATGGAGGAATGAACCAGGGAGTCACGGAAGGAATGATCCCTTCAGAATGCTGAGAGAGGAGGGAAAGATATGTTTAGTGGTTGGATCTTGCGAGCTCAAGGAACAGCACCTCATTTATCTGCTAGGGACCTTACAGCCCTCTGCATCAATATTGATTTCAACAATTTCAGACCATAACAGCTCACATTCCCCCTCCCCCTCTTCTGTGATGATTACCCACATCATCTGGTTCCCAGACACACTTTTTCTCTCTGGTCTGCCTGTTTTGTTGCATTTCCCCCCCCACCTTTGTTCTGCAATATTAACACCTTTATTCCCCTGCTTTGTTACAACCCCCCCCCCGGTTATTTTGCATCATTAACACGCTTTAACCCATCATCCCCTGTCCTCTACCCCATTTTCTCCTTTCTCTTCCTTGCCCTGCCTCCCCCCTCTCTGTTAGCCCTTAAAAGTCTCTCCCTCCCAATATGCCCCAGTTCTGACGAAGGGTCGTGAACTTTGACTCACTTTCCTTTCTCCATAGATGCTGCCTGACCTGCTGAGTGTCCCCAGCGACCTCTGTTTTTGTTTGAAGAAATCTTATTACTTTGAAACTTGTCAACAGAGTTCTAGAGGATTGTACAGCCAGTTCTAACAAGATCAGCTTGTTTTGTATCTTGGGGAGCCCAGCAGGGTCTAGTTTAAAAACAAGAGGAATAAATCTTTGAACTTGTCAACAAGATTCATGATCTGACTTGTGGTTGCCTTGTTCAAGGATTCCCCAATGTTGCCATGCTTTGTAGCAGTTTGTAGACAGTGCCTCTAGGATATTGATGCTCTGCAATTGTGAAGAGAGGGCTCTATGGTCTGTCCATACACTGGTTAACAATTGTGGTGTTACACTCCTCCATTGTTTTGTTCCAGATGTGTCTTGGAGTTGTGTTGACCAGTAGTATAGTACTATAGGTTTTCAGCTCTGCAGTACCTCACGGCCAGTAGTACTGACCAGGTTTTGCCGTTCAGAATGAGATGGTGCATCCCATATATTGACCAGTCAATGTATATAGCAGTAAAACTGTAGAAAATATATCTATGAAAAATTTGTATCTCTGAGGAAGTGATGTACTAAAAGCTGGGAAAATACCAAGATATCTGGGCCTCCTTTCTCCAGTGCCCTTCCAGACTCTCTTGCCTCCTCTTCTCCCCTCCTCCATAATGGCTAATGGTCCATGAGGCAGCTGGACTGAAGAGCTCCAACTCTGATCCCTTCCTCCCAATATCTGCGCTCGCACACTATAACACACACACACACAGTCACAGTCCACTTCCCATTGATAGAATTGAAACTGGTAACCTTGCATAGTTCAGAACTCTTGAAAATTTTTCAAACTTATAATTGACCCAATGGGCTCAGAGAAGAGCATCTTTTTCCACCAGTCATTGATAAATAAGGTATAAACAAAATGTTACCTGTTTTCAGAATTAATGCACCTCATTCAGTTCAGGAGCTAACGGGGAACAAATCTAGTGCTGTAACTTTGGCACACGAGTCACAAATCCACCAAAACAATCTTGGAGACGTAGTGGGCTGGAATGGAACAGCGGGTCGAGAGCACAATGTTCTTTCCTAAATTTGTCAATTGGCTCATCGGTTTATGAACTTTTTTTAAAAAAATGCTTGCACTCAGGCAGTAGATGAAGAGGGGAGGTTTCTTTCAAGAAAGATAGGAAAACAGTTTGGAATGCAGAAAGAGTGAACTCTTAAGCTCTCGAGACGCTACATGCATGCAAATGCAAGTTGTTGTTGAACTCGAAGAACAATAACCCAAGAGAAAGCATTCTGCAATGTTCCACTATCCTGGGAGGAAGCAAGGGTTAGAGTGGCATGTCTGGAAACTTGACAGTTCAGAGCACTTATATGGAAATGTGCAAAGCAGTTGGTGCTTAAGTAAAGAATAAAAATGTAACTTATTCAAAAATATAATTCCATCACTGAATTGCTGCTTAAGCTGTAGGAACAATATTGTGTTGTTGATATATGTACTAAAATCCCAGTAAGGCTTTCTAGCCTGTTAACTTGTATCTTTGCGACCCTCTGAAATCCATTCATCGATATCTGTGAATAATTTTCTCTCTTATTGCATTCCCATTTTTAATTTGACAAAGTAGATAAAAGAAACAAAAGCATTTGTATGACAGCAGAGTGATGCAACCATAGAGCTAAATAAATCAATATAGAGAGCTAAATAAATTTATGGTAGTCATAAAACCAGTCCGTAGCTGTTACAATGATTAATCCTTGCCAGTGCCCTTTATTCACATGTGAACCTTGACCAGAATGTTGAGAGGCTATTTGACCTGAGGCATCACAGCCAAGCTAAATCCTTTCCACACCTAATAATAATAATCCTTGCATTTGATATAGCGCTTTTCACGTCGGGAGGACGTCCCAAAGCGCTTCACAGAACACACTGTAAAGTGAATTGACTGTATATTTGTGGGCGAACGCGGCAGCCAATTGCGCACAGCAATGTCCCACAAACAGTCATGGATTGAAAATGACCAATTTATTATTGTTTTTGGTTTTGGAGGGATTATTATTAGGCGTGTGGAGTAAGGAAACTTGCCCAAGGTTTCGCCCTGCCTGCTAATGTCTGAAAACATGTAAAGCTCAGCATGAGTTCTCTGGACAGCAGTCTTAGAGTAGGAGCTCTGACTGATTTTTTTTCTTCCTAAACCAGAGATCAATTGCAATTCTGTAATACAAATGTAATTTTGTTATTGTTGTTGAAACTTTGCTCCCCACTACCTCTACCTGCGGCCTGCTGAAACTCTTCATTCCCATCTTCATCATATCAACAACAACAACAACTTCGATTTATATAGCGCCCTCCATGCCGGACGGCGTCTCAGAGCGCTTCACAGTAACGGAACCGGGGGGCGAGCCAAGGGGAGGGGGAGGAAGGTGACCAAAGGCGCAGTCAAAAAAAAACGGTCTTCAGCCGAGACCTCAAAATAGGAAGAGAGGGGGCGAGGCGAAGAGGGTGAGGAAGGGAGTTTCAGAGCCTCGGGGCGTAGTGGCTGAAGGCATGGCCGCCGATGGTGGAGAGGAGGCAATGGGCACTCTTGCGAGGAGCGAGGAGGTTAGAGAGTGCTTGACTAGGACATGCTTGACTATTCAAAGGTCCTTCTCATGGGACTCCCCAGCTCAACTGCAGACCATCAAGAACTTGCACCAGGCTTCTTGAACCCATCATCCCTATCCTTGTTTGGCTCCACTGGCTCTCCATCTTCCAACTGATCAAATTTTAGATCCTCATTCTCACATTCAATTGCCTCCATGTCATCACTACCCTACTTCTGTGACCTCCTGTGAACCTACTGCTATGGCCATTCCCTCCTGTCAGCAAACACTAGCCTGGTTATGTCACCTACCCCATCCGACCCACCATCAGTTGGGTGAGCTTTCAGCCATTCTGCCCCCATTCTCTTAAACTCTAGCCAGAGTCCCTCCACTTTGGCCCCTACTGCCTTCAAAAACCCACATTAAGACCCTTTTAACCCCAGTCATTCACTCATGCTTTGAGACATCCTGTTGCCAGGAAAGGCATGATATAATTGTAAATTTGTTGTAATTTTCTGGTCTATATGGTGCAGTGCTGTGGTAAAATGTTTTGTGTACTTTGTCATTGGGAGGAACTGCCTTTGATCCAATTTATAAAATAAAAAATCTGGATGGAAGATTTCAGACCCAGCAAATATACAGTAAAGATGTCAACCCGTAACCAAAGCTTCTCTTATGTAAAATGCTTAATTGGTTTTAAGTGTTATGCCTTGATTTTATTTTTTCCTTAAATAATTCACTTTTTTTTGTTTAGGATGAGATTCTTAAAGCAGCTGTTATGAAATATGGCAAAAACCAATGGTCTCGAATTGCATCTTTGCTGCACAGGAAGTCTGCCAAACAGTGCAAAGCCAGATGGTAAGTTTATATGGTTTCTATCAAAAATCACAGTTTTAACCCCGTTGAAAGTGTTGAATATAACATTTAAGCATAGTGGATGAAAAATTCATTTGTACATCGGTTAAAAGAAATTTCACAAAGTTAATAAAATCTTGATGCACTCTCTTGCTGGCAATTAGTGAAAGAAAAAAAATCCATCTTCTTTACAAGTCATTGGTGTAATGGTGCTGTGTTGAAGTGCCTACGACAGGAGGTTACCATAGAGAGGTGCGATTCAGTTTGTGTCTAGTCTTCGTACTGATCCCATATGGAGAGTAGATGTGAGGTGGTTACATTAAGTCGAGAAGGAAAATGGAAGAGTGAGCTGGATGGGTTCATAGTATTTAACGGAACAAAAATGAAACAATCAGATTATTATTTCTTCTCCTTTCACATTCTCCATGTACTCACCCATGTTTTATTGGTGTCCAGTGCAAAGGATGAACATTTTGAAATTAAAAAAATGAAGGAACTACAATCCATAGAATTACATAGTCTGTACAGCACCAAAACAGGCCATTTGGCTCAACTAGTCTGTTCCGGTATATACACTCACACTCACCTTAATCCCCTCCCCATACCCCATCAAAGCCAACAATATTCCTCTTTTGTAGAAATTCAAATCTGATTTGGCTGATGATGAGGATGAGAACCAGAGAGATGCCAGTTGCAATAGATGATGAAGGTTTCACTTGATAGTTGTTTGTGTGCGCAAACTGGCTGCAACATTCGTCCAAAAATAGTCACTACACTTTACGGAAATCTCTGAAATGCTTTGACACATTAAATGATAAATTGCTATTTCAAATGTAAAAAGTGTAACAAATAGAGTTCCCAGATACAGGAACAAGCCATTTGACCAGTCAAGCCTGTTCTGTCAATGGCATTCTCTTCAATTTCCTGCCTTTATCCCCCAAAATCTCTTCATGGGCTTATTTACCAAGTTTGTAACTGTCTCTCAGATTGCATCTATTTGATGGAGGGAGATGGGCTGTATTGTTTGAGAATCTTGGTACATTGGTTAATATAGAATTATGTGAATCATTTGATTGTTTCATTCATATTTTCTGTAAGATTGTTTGAATGAATGGAAATGGGGAATAAATGTAAGAATTGTTTGTTTGTCCATTACAACAAAAACAAATTGCATTTATATAGCACCTTTCACGCCGGGAGGACATCCCAAGACCTATTACAAAATGGGCCACTTAGTTCTGAGGTCACTGTATGGATATAAATATGAATGACTGCTGCAGTATGTTCTCAGCAAAGGAATAGCTTCAGTGCTATGATTTTGTTACTACAGGCTCATTGAAATAAATGCCAGCCGATTACCCAAATATTCTATATATAATTTTGTCAAATAAATTTATTGAATTGAACATTTTTGAAATATTGATAAAATTTATAATTTGCTAACTAAATTTTAGATGTATCATAAAACTTGATGTAAAACCTAAAGTGGTCATATCATAAAACAACATAATTCTACCACATGCCACAAGCTATTGAAAAAAAATCTGTTTTAGGTGCCAACTCTACACCAGATGTTGTACTGTTTTTTTTTGTAAGACAATTTCATAGTATAAATCAATTGTAGGTTATGTGTTAATAATTATTTTGAAATTAAATTATTAGTCAAAATGCTTTGAATGTTGATGACTATATTAATTACTTGTATTTTGTAGAATTACAAGAATACGTAGGTGGGCCATTCGGTCCAACTCGTCTGTGCCACTGTTTATGCTCTACAGAAGCCCCATTCTTCCTATTCTCTTTTCCGATCCCCATCTATTCCCTTCTTCCTTATTATGTATGTGTCAAATTTCTCCTTAAATACAATGTTGCTTTTCCTTCAACCAAAAATAAGTCACATTTTCACCATTCTATGTATGAAGAAAGTCCTCCTAAACTGCCTATTAGATCTACCTCTCGCTATCTTATGTTTATGTTCCCTCATTTTGGATTGACTAACAAGTAGAAACAGCCCATAAACAACCACCTTTATCAAATCCTTTCATAATCTTAAACATCCCTATCAAGTTCCCTCTCAATCATTTCAACTCTAGAGAGAAAAGATGAATATTGTTTGATCCAAGTTTGGGGGATTTGTGGAGTTCTATAGCTTAGTAGTTAGAGCACTCACCTCGCAAGCGAGAGGACCTGGGTTTGATTCCCGGCAGGGCGAAACGTTAGGCAAGTTTCCTTATACCAATGCCTCAATTTAGCTAGCACTAAGTAGGAACCTGGTTATTAGTCGATTGGCGGATCACTTTTCTGGGGGCAATAATCTCTTCAAAATAGGTAGATCGGTCACTCAATCCGCAACTGTTTGTGGGACACTGTTGTGCACAATTGGCTGCCGTGTTTCGTCCACAAAATATATAATAATAATAATCTTTGCATTTGATATATCGCTTTTCACGTCTTCTAGACGTCTCAAAGCGCTTCACAGAATTGCTGTAAGGTGAATTGACCGCACATTTGTGGGCGAAACGCAGCAGCCAATTGCTCACAGCAGTGTCCCATGAACAGTCGTGGATTGAAAATGACCAATTTATTATTGTTTTGTTTTTGAGGGCATGTGGAGTAAGTAAATTTGCCCAAGGTTTCGCCTGGAATTGAACCCAGGTGTGTCTCACTTTCAAGGCGAGCGCTCTAGCCACTGAGCTACAGGACTCCACGTCAGTTCACTTTACAGTATATTCTGTGAAGCACTTTGATACATCTCGAAGATGTGATGCCTTTGAGATGCAAGGCCTTCGAGATATCAAATGCATGGATTGTTATTATTATTTCCCAACTGCTGTATTTCAGAAAAACAAACCATTTTTCAAAATAAGATTATTTATATTTATAGTCATAAATGTCATGTTTTTCTTAAATCGTTGATAAATACCCCTTTTTCCCCAGGAAAAATTAGTATTGTAACCAAGCAGTTCCTAGTGCAAGACGTAAGCGGATATTCCAAAAGAAATCCCATTTTCACCAAATTTACCTTTTTTTATTTTGTTTTCTCCCTGATTTTCTCCTGTTTTTGATGGAACAAATTATCCTGAAAAAACCTAAGTTTTTATTTTGGGAATAAATCAACTAATGGCCCTTAATTATTTGGAGTGACTTAGACTGGATTTTACAGTGGCCAGAAATTTGAGACCTCCTGTCGCCACTATTTTTTTTAGATGCATATCTTTGCCCATACAGCGCCTTGGGACGTCCTCCTGACGTGAAAGGCGCTTTATAAATGGAATCTTGTTGTTGTTGTTGTTGTTTGGCTTTGCAAATTGGTATTTATTATTTGTGGGTTCTCTCTATTTAAAAACACATCTGTTGGCACTGAAACCTGTGACTTTTATATGGCAGTATAAATGCATAGTTTTATTTTTAAATAAAATGATTTAACTGCTTGAATTTACTCTTTTTTGGTTTTGATTAATTGCGTTAATATTTGTTAATAAGGTATGAGTGGCTGGATCCAAGCATCAAAAAGACTGAATGGTCAAGGGAAGAAGAAGAGAAGTTGCTGCACTTAGCAAAGCTGATGCCAACCCAATGGAGGACCATAGCTCCAATTATTGGAAGAACAGCTGCCCAATGCTTGGAACATTATGAGTACCTCCTGTAAGTTAATGCATAATGTGTCTGGAAACTGAAATTCTACAGCGTGACTGTTTTCTTCAATTTATTTAAATTTGGAATTGGAAGAGACCGATGTAACATTATCAGCAATAGGGGAGTACTAGCCTTCCATTGACATTTTCAAGTTTTATTTTATCCTTTTTTCCATTAAGCAATGTATCCAGTATGGTAGCTGTGATTTTAGCAATATTCCAGATGTCTTTACTTCACACGACTCCTACGATATTCTGGAATGTCTGCCAGATATGTAAAAGAAGTTATATCAGTAAATGCATATTATTTCAGCTGAAGGATATTGGCTTAGGTAATTTTGATGGCAATGCTTGTTTAAGTAGTAATTAAGCTCTGGGCTTGTACAGTATATGTGCCTGCTACTCATTTCACCAAACAGTTTTAAACCTGTTTCAGAGACAAAGCTGCCCAGAGAGATCATGAAGAAGAAACTGCTGATGATCCTAGAAAACTTAAACCTGGTGAGATCGATCCAAATCCAGAAACGAAACCAGCCAGGCCTGATCCAGTTGATATGGATGAAGGTACACATTACATGTTTCTGAGCTATCAACTTTGTTTAGCTATAACATTCAAATCCCTCTCAATGGTTATTTGCAGTCTTCAAATTATATAACATAATGGCCCATATTATTGCTTAAGATTTAATATGATTAGATACATTTATTAATTATGTGGAGTCCTGTAGCTCAGTGGTTAGAGCACTCGCTTTGCAAGCGAGAGACCTGAGTTCAATTCCAGGCAGGGCGAAACCTTGGGCAAGTTTCCTTACTCCACACGCCTAATAATAATCTCTCCAAAGCAAAACAATAATGAATTGGTTATTTTCAATCTACGACTGTTTGTGGGACATTGCTGTGCGCAATTGGCTGCCGCGTTCGCCCACAAATATACAGTCAATTCACTTTGCAGTGTGTTCTGTGAAGCACTTTGGGACATCCTCCCGACGTGAAAAGCACTATATCAAATGCAAGGATTATTATTATCTGAGATGGTTTCTGCAATATCAGACCAAATATCCTTACATTTAAAAATAAAAAGGTTAAAAAGTGATTCACTTACCAATTTAAGATTAATTATGCTAAACTTATATCGAACCTTGGTTAGACCACACTTGGAGTATTGTGTACAGTTCTGGTCCCCATATTATAGAAAAGATATATAGGCATTGGAGAAGGTGCAAAGGAGATTTACAAGGATGATACTGGAACTGCGAGGTTATACCCATCAGGAAAAGCTGAACAAGCTTGGACTCTTCTCTTAAAAAGACAAGGGTGAGGGGTGCCCTAATAGAAGTCTTCACACTTATGAAAGGTTTTTGTTAGGGTGGACATAGAGAATATGTTTGCACTTGTGGGGAAGACCAAAACCAGGGGCCATCAATATAAAATAGTCACCAATAAATCAAATAGGTAAGTCAGAAGAAACGTCTTTACCCAGAGAGTGGTGGAACTGTGGAACTTGCTAACACAAGGAGTAGTTGAGCGAATAGCATAGACGCATTTAAGGGGAAGCTGGACAAGTACATGAGGAAGGGCAGGAGGAGGCTCACGTGGAGCATAAACACCAGCATAGACCAGTTGGGCCGAATGGCCTGTTTCCGTGCTATATATTCTATGGAATTCTATGTAAGATCAAATTCAAAGGTATGATGAAAATCACAGTCAAATGTTACGAAATAAAACTCCAGAAGAGATCACAAAATATAAATCTGCAATGTCACAGCCTTTCAATTAAAAGGTCACCTGATTCTTACATTGTGTCAAAATAATGAGTTTGAAGACATTTTATTTGGTTCACTAATGATAGAATCCCAAATAGCACTGGTTCTTCAGGAAAAACAAGAAATTGGGGCCATTTGTAATTTGCCTCCAGTATAAAAACAAGTCCAAAAGGAGAAACAATGCCTTGGTAGTGCAGACAATGTCATAGAGCCTGCAACATAGTACAGTAGATGATGGGTTTGATGGTGATGGACTTCTGCATGTCTTAGACACCCAGCTGACCAAATAAAAAAGCAGACCTTTGTTTTTTTTCATATAATTCTGGAGTTCAATCCTGTACCTTGACTTGTATAGCAGAATAAAGGTTAGTCAGGTTCCACATGTACAGCTGCATATAGGAAGCCCGCAAAAGTACAGAGATAGCAAAATACTGTGAAGCGTGCTAATAGATTCATAGTTTGAGGGCACAAACCTTGTCTTTCATCAAACATAGTGGTTTTAAAGTTTTTTAAGCCTAGTGGGATCATTGCTGTTGAATATCAGATTGTATATGCTTTACAAGTCAAGTCACAGCTCTGCAAGACTGTGGGGATGTTCCATAGCTTAATAACAGAATTCAGGAATGTAGGATAAAAATAGCTCCAATACACAGTGTAATTCAAAGTGGTAATAAAAGTGCTGCACATATGGAGCAGGAGCATGCTGGTTTGTCAATCATTGTTGCTGTTCAGAAAGAAGTGCCCAAACTCAATTAAAAAGTTTCCAGTGGTGATTTGGCAACTGGATATCTGTGAACCTGCTGTTCGGGTTAAAATGATTGATGAGACACATTTAAACAAAGCTTTTAAATGGGAGAAATGCCATTAAGCTCCCACTCCTGTGTCTGCCACTATGGAAGCTTCATCCCAGCTGGTTAATGACTGAGCTTAACTAGGCAGTCTGAGAGCCCTCAAACTCAGCTGCTTATTTTATTCACTGATAACCCTTTTGGAAAGCGTGTTTCTGCAGTTTCTATATCGCTCTTTTCAGATTTTGTGACCTGATTTTGTGAATGGCAAGGATACTTGTCTTTTTTTTCAGTTTCATTATCCCAATGCAGAGTGACATTTCCTTGGAATTGTTTGTTTTTTGGATAACCCTGTGAATCATACCCTACAATAACAGCACTTCCGCTTAATACAGTAAAACTTGCACAAATCTTATCTTAATTTTAAATAAATTGTATAATCAGGTAAATCGTACATGTAGCCGAGTCCTATTCAGTTTCCTATCAAAACCACTTAGATTTCTTTGCACTAGTCGTCTTTATCATCTCCTAACTCGTAAGCTGCTCCCCTACTCTGCGTTACTCCGACACTTACCGGCTTCTTTGAATCGTGGGAAATGACGTCCTGACCTGTTGACACATGGGAACTTACCAGCCAGCTGCATTGAATCGTGAGGAACGTAGTCTCAAACTGTCATCACATGCGCAGAAGAACTTCATTTTCCGCAATTCAATGCAATTCCAATACTTGTCGGTAAGTGCCCATGCGGTGCTAAGTCAAAACACATTGAATCATAGTTTTGACCCACCACCACCTGCGCACTTATCAGCTGCAGTGACGAAATACCACATTCGCACCTACTGGCTATATTGAATTACGCCTGCGCAGTGTAGATTATTGATGAAATCAGATTTTATACAATTTATACATTTTGTCTGTAACTCAGACTTCATGTAAGTCATATTAAATATTATGGTCCTGACTGATGTGACTTATCATGTGAGTTTTACTACATAGCCTTATCATGCGAATGTTCCAGATGTCTTCATACAATTTATTTTTATAGATACTGTTCAATGTAGGGAACACAGCAGCTAATCTGAATCAACAATGCCCCACAAAGATCAAATCACCACTGTTATTTGGTTGGTTAAGTTGGATAACGGAGAAATACAGCCAGGACATTGGAAGAACTGAATGCTTTTCTGTCAAGTATACCATAATCCTGATCAATGGGAAAAGCTCCTTATCTAGCTTACTTTGTTAGAATGCTACAAAACGTACTTTGACATGTGGAAGCAGCGAACAGTTTCTTGCATTCAAATTCTATGAAAGTTTCTTCATGACTTGACACTTCAACCAGCAGCTAATACCCCTTACCTTTAATGACACCACTCTTCATCTGTTGCCATTATTAACCTCACTACCTCCAAGGTATCAAATGGAATACTTAATATTTCTTTTACTAAAGCTGCCTTCAAGAACCTTAGTTTCTTTTTTAACAAATCCTTTTCTCCTAAACAACTTTGAACTGTTTCTGAAGCCTGAGTATTATCTGGAAAGGTCCCTGCAGCATTCCTCTTTCACTCTTAGACAGAATATAGATGATGATTCTTCTCCCACAAACAAACTTTCTTTTCCTCACTCACAACCACAAGATCACAATTAATTAGGGTGAAAATGGCCCATAAGTCCAAGCGATCTCATCTTTTCAGAATACCCATCCTACCATCCTCCTATCACAATATCAAGCCTTTTTTTTAAATGTCATGACAATCTTTGCCATATTACTACAATGACCTGACCTTTCCTACCAAACTGTGAAAGTGCCATAGAGTCTTTCACCTTGTATTTTCACAACATTGAAATTCTAAATTGGTCACATTGACTCCTTCTTTCCCGGTATCTCAAGACTAGAACTCTTAACTTTCTTAATCGTTTCTTTCAACAATCTACAGATGCGTATTTAAACCGAAATTTTATGTTATCTCAACATGAATAGATTTAGGTCATTCTCCTTTTCAAGCCAGTAACTTGGCCCTTCAACTAAGTTTCTCAATAAAAATAATTATTGTTTTAAATCTCAACCTTTGGTACCATATAAGCTAAAATAGACAAGAAACTTATCAGTTGATTTTGAACCTTAATATTTTTCAGAAATTTAAGGCCACAAATCCCTGTGAATTTCCACAAAAAGTGTAGTATAATTTGGAATCCTGCTGTGGTGCAGCTGTTGAACTCACCTTGAGGTGTGAATCTATTTTGGCTCCATTCAGAAATCTGTTTTCTATTACTGTGATTTCTTGGAACATGTGACAACAAATCTCTCTTTAAATCACATGTTCCTTCGATGCTCTGGCCAAATCCCCAAATCACTTCACTCCTTTCAAGAATAATTACAATGCCTAAAAGCTTTTGAATATACGAAGATTAGATAGTTTAGAAATTGATAACATATTTAATCATTTTTCTTCCCCCTTTGTATATTTTGATATGATGATAAATTAGTTAGCATGGGATTTATAAGAATTTTTTTTTTTTTACCCTTCAGATGAACTTGAGATGCTCTCAGAGGCTAGAGCTCGTTTGGCGAATACCCAGGGCAAAAAAGCCAAGAGGAAAGCACGAGAGAAGCAACTTGAAGAAGCCAGGTTAGTCTTAATAGAAAGATTTCTACCATAAAGTTTGCTTGAGACTAAAGAGCGCTGATATACTTTGTGAATTAATTCTGGACTGATGTTGCTGTGCAGCAATTCCTCACACACCCCATACGATGCCACTTGTACAATTATGCTCACTCTTCACTTTTTTTGCACTTCATAGTTACAGAGAGCCAGGATAACAGAGTTTGCCTGGGGTATAGGAATGACACACAATGCATTTTTGCTCAGCACTGTTAAGTGCTCCGAGACCCTGCCCTAAATATTCTATTATTAAAAACGTATTTGTAAGTTAGATTTAATCTTTTTTTGTTGATGAATTTTGGGGCTTATGAGGCAAGTGATGTTAATGCTGAGAAATTAAAAGCTTTGAACACCCATTCTGAGTATCAAGCGTTCCTGGGTTATTGCATATCATGGTTAGCTGAAGAGTAAAAGTCCTTTTGCTTTGACACAACAATGTTCTCCAGCACCTCCCCTGGCCTCACCTCAGACGGCGTACCCCACTGTACGATTGTAACATTTTACAGTTCTCATACTAAACATCCTGTGTCCTTCTGACTGGACTGCCAGAATAAGGACAATCTCACATTGGGAAGTCATCTGGAGTCCTGTAGCTCAGTGGTTAGAGCACTCGCTTTGCAAGTGAGAGACCTGAGTTCAATTCCAGGCAGGGCGAAACCTTGGGCAAGTTTCCTTACTCCACATGCCTAACAATAATCCCTCTAAAAAAACAAAAACAATAATAAATTGTTCAATCCATGACTGTTTGTGGGACATTGCTGTGTCAATTCACTTTACAGTATATTCTGTGAAGCGCTTTGGGACGTCTAGAAGACGTGAAAACGCTATATCAAATGCAAGGATTATTATTATTATCTCCGCTATGTACTGGGTGAGCCTGCCTGCACTGATTTCACATATAGCCCTTGCGTCCGATAGTAGACATCAGGGAGGAGTGGGTGGGGGGGTGAAATTGAGCCAGGTCCCAGAAATGAAAGGCCAGTGTGGTATATCTAAACTTCTAGTGTTAGACTGTGCTGTTGATCAATAGCATTGTTAATATTGATTTTATTTTGAGACGTACATTATTTGTGAAATGCAAACATTGATTTTAGCCAATTTTCTGCATTGATTGAATCAATCTTAGCTTCTAAAAGTTGTTCAAATTGGAGCATAATTTAAGCATAAATGTTACTAAGTTAAAATGAATGATACTGGATGTAGAAATTGATGGGTTATGTACAATTTATGGACTTGTTTAATTTCTCTCAAAGACGACTTGCAGCACTGCAGAAGCGCAGGGAGCTGCGAGCTGCTGGTATAGAGATACAGAAGAAAAGAAAGAAGAAAAGAGGAGTTGATTATAATGCTGAAATTCCATTTGAGAAGAAGCCTGCTCCAGGTTTTTATGATACATCCGAGGAGAATTATCAAGCACTTGAACCAGATTTCAAGAGACTTCGGCAGCAGCATCTGGACGGAGAGTTGAGATCGTAAGTCACTGCAGAAATCTAAATACTGCATAAATACAATTCTTGTTTAGTACAAGAACATTTGTTACTTTTATGAAAATCATCTAGCATACTATGTATGCAATGTCCTGTCTCAGAAACTCAAACCAGTGCAACTTAGCTCAATGCAGCTTTTCACATGGAACAATTTAATTTTCCAAAGACTCTTGGAAACAAGTTGTAGAGTGGACAATCAGAAAATGGTTTCTGGTACCCAGTATTGGTCTGTTTACTTCAGAAGCATGGTGGGATAAGGTGGGAGGGGCTTTCAATTATTTGTTCGATACAGTGGGAAAAAAATTATTCTATTGATATTATTTAAAAACTAACAGTATTAACTGTATGCAGATTGTATGCAAATTGGTGGTAGTTTTGTGGATTTATAGTCGTATCATCATTGTTTTCCTCTATAATTTACTACTTTTCTTGTATAGCAAGCAGTAGAAAATAATTGAATTCCTATATAGCCTTGGGGAGTGCAAAAAATACAGTACCTTTTGTCCCCCCAAAAAAGCTGAATATTTTCTAATATTTTTCACTTCATGTTTTAAATTTTTAGTGAAAAGGAAGAAGCAGAACAAAAGAAAGATAAGCAGCGCCTAAAAAAGAAGAAGGAATCTGATTTGCCATCTGCCATATTACAAATCAGCGGTGTGTCTGAATTTACCAAGAAGCGGAGTAAACTGGTTCTTCCAGCACCACAGGTAAATAGTACATTTCCCATTCGGAAAAGAGGAGAAGTTACGTAGTAATTGCTAAGGAACAGACATTTGGAATTAAAAGTGCAATTTTGATTGTATTTGATCTGCGAAACAACAGACTCGAAATCCTATCCATGTTCTTTACGTTGCATAACCAAAATGTATTACATAAAAAAGAATGGGTTTCAGAAATCTTAAGGATGGCTGACCTTGGGTGATTCTCATCTTGATGTATTGCTGGACACTGACACACTGTACCTCATATATTTCAAGGATCAGATCTGTTGTGTTTTGTGGCCCAAAGAATTGTTTTGCTTTGCAGATAGAATTGGTCATTGCTTCAAAGACGTATACTATATTACCCTTAGCTCTACCCCCACCCACACTGACACACATATAAATTAGGGTACATGTTAACCAAGTATATTATACAATATTATCTATGTAAAAATGAGCATTTCATCGATGTGTATTCTTTTGGTCTATTGGATAGTGGTTAATGTACTCTCGATACTTTAAAACTACAAGTTAAATGTAACAATAGTTAGGCACCATATTAACGCAGACAATGTCCCCTTTTGCCCCAAAATGGAAGGGTTTAAGAAGAAAGTTGATAGATAATTTATTATTTGAACAAGAATTCCCTTCAAGCTTCCCGATGAGCAGCAGCACTCCTCATGAAATGAGCACTGTTACAATCCTCCGCAACTCATACACACTTCCCTAACATTTGAGCAATGGTTCCATAAATTGGAAATGCAGAGCTTCAGCATCAGCTGCTTTCCTGCCTGCATACAGACATCCAGACATGGTGGATACCAAGTCAAGGATATACAAGTTAATGTTATCTAACCAGTCATCAAATATAACCTGCCTTGCCCCTCAACTTCCCATTCTGATATTAGAAATTGTCACCTAGTTGACATAGTCCTGCAGTGCAGACGCATATAACGAGATATATTTTTCCTCAGCTAAAACTGAATGCATCATTTTTACAACCTACGTAGAATATGTGAATAATAAAACTGGAATTAGTTCATTATGGGAAATAACATCTTTCTAGTTTTCAAGGTCAGACATCCATAAAAAAGTGCATGTGTTTTTTTATTAAGATCTCAGATGCTGAACTGGAAGAAGTAGTCAAAATTGGCCAGGCAAGTGAGATTGCCTGTCAGACAGTTGAAGAATCTGGAATGCCAAACTCTGCTTCTAATGCTCTGCTCTCTGAATACAACATTGCGAACAACGGACTGAGTTTACGAACAGCACGTACTCCAGCAGCCCAGGACCGGATTCTCCAGGTAACTAAGTGATGTTAAGCTGAAATGCTGCTTGTACCTTGTTAGATCTGTAGAGGACAGCTATATCGTCAGTAAAGCCAGTGCAGTAAATAGAGCTTGTTTGTGCAGGTCATGATGTATTGTCAGTACATAAATTTCAATGTGTATGGTCCATTGACAGTGAAGTGATTGTTCCAAATTTTCGTTGCTAAGAAGTTTCAGCTGGAGAGTTTTCTGTGTTTTTTGATAAGCTTCTCATGCATGGACGTATTTCATTGTTGCCTATTTGAGCTGGATTGAAAACATAGTTAAATTTTGTTAAATTCTGTTTGCCGAACAAAAATTAGATAAGATTAAATGGAAACTGCATAGATAATTCTATTTTCTATATAGTTGTAATGGATCATTTTAGATTTTTTTAGTTCTGGAGACATTCAAGACCAAATTCTTGTCTTAAATATAGCATTTAATATTGTGTGAGAGATGCTAGTGTGTTGAAATGCCAACACATGATGCTGTGGAGTAATAGGTAAAAGTTCAAACACATGATTAACTGGGTTCCTAATCTCCGCTTTATCAGTGTAGGTCAAATAATCCTTGCATTTGATAAAAGCATCTTGCTGTAAAGACTATTTGTAGGTGCACCTGACAGCCAATTTGCAATAACGTTCCACAAACGTCCATTAAATAAATGACAACTTCATCTGCAGAATTGTTGGTCAGGGCACTGGGAGAAACTCCCTTTTTCCAATAGCAGGTAGATTGGAGTTCAGTTTGGCACGTCATCAAAAGGACAGCACATTTGACACTAATGCTCCTCCACCGCTGTACAACAGTGTCAGCCTAGATTCTGAGTTCAAAGTCTTGTCAAGGGGTTCAAACCCACAACCTCTTGGTGTTCCTCACCATGATTGCACCGTATGGGAAGGAAGATCATTTCCAGAAAGCTATCATGCACCTCTTGGTGACTGTTTCAAAGTGGGATTGGCAGGCACCAAAGGAATAAGTCATGCTCAACCTTGGCTGTGGGTACTTTGGGGCACTAAGGTGGTTAGGGAGGGATTTTTTTAAAGTTCAGTTAAAATTCTGACATATACAGTTGTTTTCTTTCCATGTTTATAGGAAGCTCAGAATTTGATGGCACTGACGAACGTTGATACGCCTCTGAAAGGTGGATTGAACACCCCGCTCCATGAAAGTGATTTCTCTGGAGTAACTCCGCAGCGTCACGTAGTTCAAACACCAAACACAGTTCTCGCCACACCTTTTAGGTAAAAACACATCTAAAATTGCCTTAATTTTATTTCAATGTTCTTTTTCAAAAAAAATTTAATTTATTTTAGCAAATGCGGGTGCAAGCTATGTCATACAGCATTTTAAAGACAATTAGATAAGTACTTTGTAGAATATTACAATAAGAGGCATGGAGATTAAAGTAAAGTGCTCCAATGAGAGAGTTAGCACTAGCACACACATAATGGGCCAAATGGCATTCTAGTAAGTGGGATCTAAAATGTAGGAATTTCAAATCGTCAGACTCCTAAATGGTTTCAAATTTTGTGTTAATCAGTAGTAAATAGATAAGTTTTAAAAAAAGCTAGATCAGAGCTGAGTTCTGCTTTTCATCTGCACAGTATGTTTTATTATGAACCACCACAATCAAATTATTATTAACTACACTGTTACCAGACCTGGCATCCATACCAGAATTGACACTAAACTTAACATTTTAAGTTGAAGGGAGGAGAAAGGCAGCTAGTTGGCTTTTTTTTTGTTTAAGTGCAAATTACACTCATTTATTAAAATGAAGTAAATCAAAAGATTAGGTAAATTTTTAAAAAAATTCAGTTTTAATCACTGATGTAGATGCTTTTTTGGTATAGACAATATTGCCACTTGACTTTTCCTTTGTAGAATAAAGGTCCTCATTCTACCATCGGACTAGTCCTTGAGCAATTGAGTTGCTATTCTGTTGGAGCTCCTTTACCTTGTCAGCTCAAGTAACCGTTTTCGGAAGAAAGGAAAATGAATGAACAAAGTGTAATTTATTTTTTAAATATTGTAGGACCCCAACACATAGCAATGAAACAATGACTCCACGTGGTGGACTGACTCCGAAACCAACTGTTACAACAACCCCAGGACGGACTCCTTTAAGAGACAAACTGAACATCAATCCAGGGGAGGAATTGGTGGACTACAATGATCCTTCGAACACCAAGCAATTGGTAGGAGAAAGGGGATTAACTTGAATTCTGTTCTCAGGTGAAGGGGCCCAGCCATGCAGAACTCCATAAAGTCTTGAAAAATACTTAATGGCAAAACGAATGTAGTAAAAACTATTCTACTGCGATGTTTTAACCTTGTCCAATCCAGACAAAATGGATTGAGTTATGGTATTTGGAAAAGAAAAGCACTGCCGTTAGTGACAAAAACAACAACGTTCAGCGTTTACAGTGATCACCCAGCATTTTGCATTGATTTTTACAATAGCAGCAAGGTATGAAAATAATAAAGATCACTAAGGATAAAGAAGGCACTAAAGCCTGTTTGTTCACATGGGGAATTTTTTAACCTAACATTTTATTTCTACTTGAATGACTGTCTCCAACCAAAACGAGGACAGTATTTTTACATTTTAAAAAGAGCAAAATGCTGAGAAAGTTAATTTTTATGTTTTCGCGGTTTAAAATGAAAAATGTACCTCTCCTCCTCTGATAAAGAATGTTATATGGCTACAGTGCCATATATAATAGGTAAAAAAACACATTCAGACATTTTGGAGTGTGTTCAGTATAACATCTGCTCAGATGTCAACATTAATCGTTCATTAGTCACAAGCTCTTACCACTTTTATGTATTTAAATGTTTGATAATTTCGGTATTTAAGAAAATATTTGATTTGACCCTTAGCCAGATGAACATCTGAAAATCTTTCTGTGTACACAGTGGGAGTGGTAATTAGCAGGATCTGGGTTAAATAAAAGCAGAAAATGCTGAAAATTCACAGCATGTCTATCAGGGTCTGAAAGAGGAAGGATTAGCATTTTGGATAATGAAGAATCACATCTGAGAAAATAACTTAGCTTTCTCTTGCAGATGTTGATTGACCTGCTTTATATAGCTTTCCAGCATTTATTTTTTGGGGGAGGGGAGTTCAGATTTCCGGCATTTTGCACTTTCTGTATTTATGAACCTGGATTAAAAATGGTTTAAACTTTTAACTAAAAGAGGATCCTGGAATACTATCAATCTTGGTAAACCACAGGTTTATCAGAAAAGGTTATTGATACTACAGGCTACCGGATAATCAGAAGGAGGTATATGTTTTGCTGTGGAGGTCGTAAAACATGAGTGCCTTGTCCTCAGTAGTGATTATGGGCAGTTTTGGTCTTCCTAACAAATATGGCATTTATAATGGGATCAATTCCATTTCTGAGCATGAATTTATTGAAGTGAGGGATTTCTTTCTAAAACGCTATTTTGAGGAAAGTGCAATCTTGAATCTGGTTTTAACTAATACAACAACAACAAGATTCCATTTATAGAGCGCCTTTCAAGTCGGGAGGACGTCCCAAGGCGCTGTACAGTTGGGTCAGGACCCAAGCAGGGGGGAACTGGTCAGGGTGAGGGGAGGGAAGGGAGGGAGCGAGGAGGGGGTAGAGAGTCGAGAGGGGAGCTGAAGGCACGGTCAAAGAGAAATCAGCAGTAGACTAGCAAAGTAGAAGTAAAGGGCCATTTGGAGCCAAGAGACAATAATGTTACTTTCAAGGTTAAAAAAAAGAAGGAAAATAAAAGGAAGCCTACAAGGAATCAGTTTTAGACAAGTGGACTGAAGTTCTGAGGTAATGTATGAAAACAACAAAATGGAAGAAAATATTAAAATATAAGGAAAGTGGGAATATTTAATAGATATGGAGTTGAAATAAGTTGTGGACAAGTGTAAAGAGCAGAAGATATGGGGGAAAGGAGAATGGAATTATGCAGAAAGCTTCAGTTTGTAGAATTGTAGATATAATGAGCTGAATAGCCTCCTGTGCGACTAGGAAAATTGTAGAGGTTTAGGGAGCAGGAGGGAGTGCAGAAATTTTTACACCTTTCAGGAATTGGAAATAGCTAGATCCATAAATAGAGGCTGAGAAATGCAAAGTAATTGATAATGGGAAATATGAGGAATACCACATCAGGAATGGTAGAAGCAAGTGAATAAGTATGGCAAGAATAACCTCATATTTAATTAATATTAAAAAGAATTGAGAACACAAAAAATCACAGGAATCCTAATTCACTATAATTTTAAGAATCGTCATTGGCATTTTGTAGAATATTGAAATCCAATGCCAACATTTTACAAAAACCTGCAGCAAACGATTTCACTGCAGTCTTCATTGCTGTTGCCTTCTCTTCATTTTACTTTTAGGAAAGGGAGCATCGTGAACAGCTGCGAATGGGTCTGCTGAATCTTCCCACTCCAAAGAATGACTTTGAAATTGTACTGCCGGAGAATGCCGAGCGAGAGCTTGAGGAACAGGAGACAGAAGATAATTTTGTAGAAGATGCTGCCGATGTGGAATCTCGTAAACAAGTAAGCTTCTTCAGATGTAGTATCAAAGGCAAATAATGCCTCTTTTCCTGTGCCATCTCCCCTTTCTCTTCCCCAAACAAATAGAGCCTTTTCAAAGTTTTTCTTCATTACTAGTAATCCCTGATTGAATTTTAATTCTTCTAAGATAACCTTCAATCTAGTGATGTACAAAGCAAACAATGAAATTTGATAGCATAGTGAAATTTGATAGTAATGAACATATACTGGGGAGGACTTAACACCCTCCACCAACCCCCAATCAAGAAAGAGCAGCAGGTGAATTAAAATCTAATAATAGATCTATTCTTGAAAGTTGGGCTTCATTGTGCATTAAAAAACATCCATAGAGCAATAAGCAACAACAACTTGCATTTATATACCACCATCATGCAGAATAGCGTTTCAAGGAGCTGTACAATGGTGGGGTTGAACACCGAATAAAGGAGAAGGGGAGGGGGAAGTGACTGTAGATAAAAATAAAGGTGGAGGAGTTGAGGCAGGGGGTTCCAGGGGTTAGGGACGTAGTGGCTGAAGCCATGGCCATCAATGGTGGCACGGGGGGGGGGGGATTGGGGAAACACAGGTCCTTGTATTCTAAGTCAAGGGGCAGGCAGTGGAGTGACGTGCAAGCAGGCAAGTCCCCCGTAAGTATTCAGCGTATTAATTTGAGATCTGGTTTTATGTTCCTCTTTGTTTATACCCTTTCTTTCCTGAAGACGTTTGATTCATCCCTCCCACTGAGGTACAGTCTGCATACATTATCTTGGGCAAGTGGCCATTAATTTTGTGAGTCTTGAAAGTCAGGGTCGGTGAGATATTTGACCATAGAGGGCATCACAGCCTAGTTCGATCCTGTCTGCACTGAACGTCCACGCAGTTGCACCTTGGTTTCTGAATAGTGATTAGGAACGGATACCTTGGCAGATTTTATACACTGTAACCCAAGGACACTGAGGCCAATTGTAACATAACATCTGCTGCCTCCACTGAAATAAGCTAACTTAGCAGATAGGGAAACAAACCTGTGACCTTCCTGGTCTTTATGACCTATTGGTACAGCTGACATTGCCTTTCTCTGTTAGAGCATCAAGAGAATTCATTTACTTTGTGTTAATTTTGTGCATAGAATTTTCAGAAAGTCTTTATTTTCCCACCAGGCAATGAGGGACGCTGAACGTGAGAGGGAATTAAAAAAGAGGCACCAAGTGGTACAGCGAGACTTGCCACGACCTTCGGATGTGAGTATAAAACATAACATTCAGTGTAATTGAAAAAATATAGAATTAGAAACCAGTAAATTATTATAGTGCACACACACAATGTCAGTGTGGAAAGAAACACATTACAGTTTGAAAAGTTGGCAAAAATAGCAAGATGGAAAAGATTTGTGAATATTATATCCGATATTTTTCATAGCCTGTTTAATTTTTGTTTTATTCGCGCCGAAATTTTTGTGCGAAATATAAATGACCCCCTAAAAAATAAATAAATCTTTGCTAGAGTGGAATAGACACTCACAATCCTTAGCTGTTACATACAAATACAGGGCCACAAACCAAGAGTTGCGCCCTTTGTGTGATTTTTTTTCCCCTGGGCGTCAGAAAATGGTATATTGTAACCTTTTTACAATATAATGTTATAAGCACCAACTGAAGTGTTCTTTCAACAAATATTTGTGATTTACAGACTGCATTTTATCTTCATTTTAGGTAAATGAAACTATTTTGCGACCACTGAATGTTGAACCACCTTTGACTGAGATGCAGAAAGCAGAAGAGATGGTGAAGAAAGAGATGATCATAATGCTTCACCATGATGCACTTCATCATCCATATGTAGACCCTTTTGGCAAAAGAGGAAAAGGAGCAGGATCAAGCTCGAACAATGCTGAGCATATCAGTTTCCTGGATCAGAATATATATGAAAAAATTAGTAAGGAAGATATGAAGAAGGTTTGTAATGTGAAGTATCTGATGGTAACCACTAACTAATGATAGATCTTGCAGGAGGGAATAGTGATAATTGGCAGTGATGCTGTAAACCCATTAGGTATGTTATGTAGAATTTTGTGTTGGCCTTAATAGTCATTATGATATATTTAATTTTACCAGCCCTAACCCAGGATGCTGAGGCCATTTTTAACCATCGCAATTGCTACCTCCACTGAGATGAGCTAACTCAGCACAGACAGGAAATTAAACTTGCAATCTTCTGCAGTGCGCAATTGGAGAAGATTGCATAGGTCGGTGAGACAAGACTATGGATGGTTTGGAAGACCAGGACAAGAACCTTAAACATAATGCTTCGCAGTAATGAGGATTCATGGAGCTTTTCCATGATGGGGTTAAAGGGTGTGCTGAGCCTTGTATGTGAGAGAACTTGGGTAGCAGAGATTTTGGATCAGTTAAAGTGCTGGAGAATGGCCATGGTGAGCATTGGAAACAAAATCTTTTCCCAAGGTTATAACTGGACGTGATGGACTGGGTGTGGTTTCAAAGTTAGCTCATGGGCAAGCAGAAAGCCAAGGTTACCGATTTTAGCCTGAAAGAGCAGCCAGAGAGGAAATAGAGCCAGAGGCATGAAACTGTTGGCAAATATCAAACAAAGCTTCAGTCTTCAGGTTTAGCTGAACAAAGTTATGGCCACCCAGGGCTTGAAAGACATGCAGTCAGTCAAAATAGCACAGTGTTAAAATTGAGGGTAATAACAGAGTGATAAGGTTAAATATCATCAGAAAAGTTAGATCAAAGTGAAAAACAAATGGTAAGTTTGTTTCAGTATATTAATAAAGTATATTTCAGGTCTAAAGGAACAGTACACTTTCATTGTTGTGACGTATAGACTCCTTAAAGCATGTCTCTTGTCTGAAAAACATAATGCTGTACTTGCTCTGTAGTAAGCTCTGGCTACATAGTTGTGGGTCCCTTAATTCCTATATTATTTAAACTTGTTAATGAAGTACCAGTAATATTCTGGAATAATATTCAGAAAGACCTGCAGAGACTTTTGTAATCTGTGTCAATAAATTATAATGCTCAAACAAATAAATTCCCAGTTTCCTAATCAAAATATTTGAAGTTCTCTTAGCATAAGAAGCTTCATATTGAAACCAAAAATGTCAAATTGAGATATTATCTGTATCAATTTTGTATGCAGCTCTGATTAATGTAAATTTTATATTAAGTAATGGATTCTGTTTTGACCTGAGATAAGCGCATGTTAAGGAAAGGATAGATAATTTACATAGCCTTCGCTTTCTGAAAAGCAAGTATGGTATTTTTTAGACATAGGCATGATTTAAAGATTCTCTACCCCACAAAATCCAAATGTTCCTTCAGGCCTCAGCTGATACTTTATAAATTTACTGAACCATGCCTACTTTGAAACATCAAACTAAGACACATTTAGCATTGCAATGATTTTTGACGAGAATTTTTTGCAACTCCCAACAGCAAACAACTGTATCATAGTTGTATGGTACAGAAGCCAATTTCCAATGGACCAACAGTAATACTATGCAAACTGTGAGATTACTGTAAATGCTGCATGGCATTTTTGCAATACTCTTTCTGCCACTGGATGTCAGTCATGTGTTTACAATAGAGTGCCAGCCAGAGTTCAGCAATAATATACACTGAATGGATGTTGCATGCTTTACAGTATGTAGTTCAGAACCAGCAAACCTTTGTGGCAAGTTTTTTTTGGTCAGCCAGATGTCTGATACATGCGGAAACCCATCACCGTGCTTAAGAGTATCTAAACCAAAATGTGAATTCCATGCATCCCAATTCCAGAGATAGATAGTTGGAATGGAATTCACACTCTCTCCCTGGAGGGACGCATCCTGCTTACCTAATTCCAGAAGGTATTAGGCGCAGGTTGGCAAGAGCCAAGGCTCAGAGTGTGTTTTGGGGTACTGATGGAGTCTAACCAGCTACAATCTCAAAGCTTTTCATTGTTACTGTTTGGCAAACTTTCCCACTGCTTGTCCAGCTCGAACTACCCTACCAGTTAGGGCTTTGCCTTGCAGGATTAACAGGAGCTGAGTGGGATGACTCCCTGCCCCCAGTGACTGGTCTGCTCTTCCAAGTCCTGCCAATGTGTCAGGCTGGCTGTGCTGTCATCAGCAGTGCCCTGGAATACTGCGGACCCGTCTGGCTCAGGAACTAGACATCCAAAACCACCGCAGAGGGCTCCCTTCCTGCAGCCGTTTCCCGTGTTTGCCACAAATCCACCTCACTGCTTGATCCTGGACTTTGCAAATGGGTCGGGGGAAGCCTCCACTGCATCCCCGGGAGCTTGGATCCATAAATGTTTGTACACGGGTCTTGTATGCTACAAGCTTGACCTGCATTGGGACCTTGCTGTTCTTGAAGAGGGACGTGCATGACAAGAGTGCCCTTCTCCCCTTGTGGCAATTAAACATTGTTTTTCTTTTCATCGTAATGTAGTCCACCTAAAAAGCACTAGAGTAAACTGGCTTAGATTTTAAATTTAATATAATTTTGGAACAAACTGGCAAATGCAATGGAAAAAATATTTCTAGTATGGAGTTTTAGGTCTGAAGATTTTGAACTAATGTCTACAGTACATTGTTAGTAATTTAATGCAGTTCAAATGTTTGTTTTTAAATCGTTTTATAGTTGTAATTTTCTTGAACATTTACAAAATATGTTGGTGCAAACTTTTTCCAGGCAAGTGAACTTTTGACACAGGAGATGGAGGTTGTAAAGCATGGTATGAGTCACGGAGACCTTCCTATTGATGCATATAACCAGGTGTGGGAAGAATGTTACAGCCAGGTGCTATATCTTCCTGGACAGAATAGATACACCCGTGCCAACCTGTCTAGTAAGAAGGACCGAATTGAATCACTGGAAAAGAAACTGGAGGTTAGTATTTGTTTTGATAACTGGAAGCCACAATAACTTTAAAGAGTCTTCTTCACAAATCCACCTGGACTTTTCCTTTTGGCCTGAGTTGATACTAACTTCATTGTGTCAAGAAGACCATTCTTTCTGATTGTCCTACTTTAAAATGCTCAAATTAGTAAAAACAAACATAAATTTTCTTGTGAGGCTAGAAATGGAGCAAGATAACTTTGAATTAGACCTGACTTGTCTTGGTGTGTATTGATACTGAATGTATGTTTTCATTTTGAATTCAAAGTGGAAAATGTTTAACACTTAATCACTTAAAACATTAATAAATGCACACAGCTTTTTTGTTTGTATTTGGTGGGCAAATGTATGTGCTACACAAAATGAGGAATGTCATTACTAGGAATTTGAATGCTTTTATTACCAAATATCAAGTAAAGTACAGGCCAGATGCGGAAAAATCAATATTGCATTTCCTATTATAAGTAATTCTAATAAGCTTCAGATTCATTAAAACCACAGCTTGGCTCATCGAGTCTATGTGCTGTTACCTCCTCCAGTAGACCCCCATTCTCTTTTAAACTGTTCCTCTTCAAAATATTTATCTAGTTCCCTTTTAAATGTTAGCCTGAACTTCAATAACTACTTGTGGCAAAATGTTCCATGGTTTAACAACCCTCTACAAAGATATAGAAATAATACACAGGATTGAAACAGGCCAATCAGCCCGACCAGTCAGTGCAATTGTTTATACTCCGCATGACTCTCCACCCAATCCTTACTCTGTCTCATACCCTCCTATTCCCCTCTCCCTCGTGTGAAGGCCCAGCCTCATCTTGAATGCCTCCATACCATCTGATTCAACCACCACTTATAATAATCCTATAATAATAATATTCCTTGCATTTGATATAGCGCTTTTCACGTCAGGAGGACGTCCCAAAGCGCTTCACAGAACACACTGTAAAGTGAATTGACTGTATATTTGTGGGCGAACGCGGCAGCCAATTGCGCACAGCAATGTCCCACAAACAGTCGTAGATTGAAAATGACCAATTTAATTATTGTTTTTTTGGTTTTTTGGAGGGATTATTATTAGGCGTGTGGAGTAAGGAAACTTGCCCAAGGTTTCGCCCTGCCTGGAATTGAACTCAGGTCTCTCACTTGCAAAGCGAGTGCTCTAACCACTGAGCTACAGGACTCCACTTCAGGGAATGAGTGCCACAAAGTCACTACCCTCTGTATGAAGTAATTCCTCCTAAATTCCCTTTTAGATCTCCCTAGTCACTATCTTATACTTGTGTCCCCCAGTTATAGACTCCCCAACCAATGGAAACAGCCTGTTTATGCTTTTGTATGTAAAAAAAATGTCTTCTACCCTCCACCTTAACACTTCCAGTGACAATCCTGACCTTATGTTCCTTAATCATTTACCAACCAATGGGAATAATCTTTAACCATTTATCTCTTAAAAAATCCTTTTAGGAAATGAAGACTTGTGTTAGATTGCCTATTAATCTTCTCTGTTCTAGGAAAACAGACTTTTTTTTCAAATTTATCCTTGTAAATTTATCCTCATCCCTGATAACATCCTTATGAATTTACGTTGTACCTTTTCCCTGACTCTGGTGTCCTTCCTTAATGGAGTGACCAGAAATGCTGCAGTACTCCCAACTACAGCAAAATCAACATATTGCATAAATTTGACATAAATTTATATAATATAACCCAGAGTTTCTTTTACCTTTTAATCAGTGCAATCTTTCAGAACTCTTCCTTAGTTGTTCCCAAAATGTACAATTTCACGTTTTCTGACATTAATCTATCCTAACGGCACATCTGCCATCTATCTGCCCACACAGCTAAGCAGCATTTGTCCTCCTGCAATTTCCTGTCAGTTAAGTTGCTAATTAGTCCTATGTATAGGCAGTTTAGCATGAAATTAGATTGAGGAGTCTCAATCAACTGTGTTGAGATCAGTAGAACTATTTTCAGTGGGACAGTTATCACAGAGAGAAGACAAACTGGCCAATCATCAAAAACTTTAATGGAAGAAAGATGGAGTTTAGGCAAGAAAACAATATGAATTAAATGTTTTATGGTTCATTGAGTTTTCGAAATTGTGCTTCATAAATCTTCTTGTTGTTAGAAAATCTTCAAAGATTTTGTTTTAACGGAAAATGTGTTCTAAAAGTTCTGAAAGATTGCAGAATACAAGTTATCCTCAGAAGAGTGTTTTGTTAAAAAAAATTGGGGAGGGAACTGCTTTATTCTCCCTCCCCACCCACCCACACAGAGAATGTATATGCATTCTTACAGAAAAAAAATTGGATTCACTGGAGGAAATGGGAAGTCTAAGCTTATATTGTTTTTGGATGTTGTATAGGCCTCAAAATGTGGAAGTATAGATTTAATATTTATGATGTGCTCAAATTTATTGAACACCTGCTAATCACATCACCTTCATAATAATAAGATGTGCCTCAAGTTCAACTGAAACTTGGTGATGAAAGCTATCGGTGTGCAGAAATTACAGATATCTCATTTAAGCCTTAAGGGTCAGAATTTCTCTTGATTTCAAAGTTCCCATCGTCTTGGGAGTTAAAACGTATTTTAATTACCATTGTAATACTTTCTACAATTGTATTGGAGAGATATTCCAACTGGGTCTAGATTGATTCTCAGGTCGTATTTTAGAGCGTTCAGAATTTTAACAGTTCTTAAATACAGTTTTAATTTTGAGGCCAGTTTTCTGTAAGTTCTGTTAAGTTAAATGTGTCAAATTCTGGATGCTTTAAAATGCTACATAAAGCTAGACCAAAATGAACTATCTCCCCATATTTCCATTGCAAAACGATTTTGAACTCAAATTCCTTCAGAGTATCTAATAGAGGCTTACAGTATCAACCCACCATCCTCAGGCAGATATACTAGTTTTACCTGATGTCTGAAAACAAGTCTGCAAATACCTTTACTAACTATTGCAACTATTCCAGGGGTTCCCATTTCTGTTCTGAGAACATTCACATACATAATTAGCAATCTTACCAAGGTTCAGATAGGACAACTTCAGTCACAATTTACAGGTATCTAACCAGTAGCTTTTTTAAAAAAGTTTAGTCTGGCTGCACACAAGACTGTACACTATGGCCTATGTGGTCTCTTCTCATCAAAGGGGAATTGGGGCATACTCAACACTCTCCTTGAACATCATTAATCTCTTTCTTGCCCTGACCCAAGTTGGCTCATGTCCTCTTGATCTCATCTGTACAAATATTTTTACAATTTATTTCACATATGTGATATCATTGTGTCAAAGGGAATTACATGCATTTGTCCAGTAGGGTGCAGCCTTCATCTACTTGTGTTGATTTTTGCACATCTGAGGCAGGACTTCAATCTTCAAAATGCAGAATAATAATATATATGCGACTTAAGTATGAAAATATTTTTTTACACTGTGTAAACACAATGTCATTGATTTTGTCTAAATTTATCTTAACAACCTGCTGCTTTAACAAATGTAGATCTTTCTGAACAACGCTATTGTATTTCCAGAACATTTAGAAGGACAATATTAAGATGTATGAAGAAAATCGGTTTACTTAAAGCATTTCCCTGCTAACAATTACATTTTTGTAGTTCAGTGATCTAACTGGTCAGTGTTTAAACATGGAACTCCCCAAACACTTAAGAAATTGTGCATGTTGCTTCGACTTTAGTGGTCAAATGTTAGTTATTCTAAATATTTAGACTTCTAGTATTGAAGTCTAGAATTTTGCATGAAATTGCATTTTGAAACCATTGCATATCTGATATAACAAAAACCCTTAGTGTGTAACAAATCTTTCTGGCTAAATGTCTTTTTTTTAAAATGACTGTTTTAGTATTTTCAGATAATTATTCTTTTACAGTGAACTTGATGTTATTTCTAGAGAAGCTCAGCAAGAATCTGCACATTAAATAAATATAGAAAGACACTGTAATATGTTGCTTGGAAGATTTTATGCACTGAAAAATAATTGAAACTCCATTTAGTTTTTTTTATATAAAGCACAACAGAAATGCAAGGTTTGCATGTTCTATTCTTACTCGAGGATAGATTTCAGTTAATCAAGGAAGTTATTCACAAAGGGTGGGTTTGTTTAAAATATCTTGGCAGAGAAAAGTGGGAAGTAGGTTGGAAATCATTCACATGGGTAGTTCTGAGAATCAGGCAGTAGCAGTTCCATTTACAGAATTTACACTGTTCCTCTTGCCATTGAAAACAGCTGCAAACCACATTGCAGTAAGCATTTTGCAAAATTGCCAATACTCTACAGCTCAAAGGTGCCATAACCATTTATCCATTTTTTGAGTTGGTTGCCTAAAATAGTAGTTTATGTGGTCGGGACCTAGGACAAGTACAGCAAAATGAGCACATTTCTAGTGGTTGTACTTAATGGCCCATTTTATATATTATTTAATTTGACCACTTTTTTTGTTTTCACTCTCTTTCACCTCCCAAATATAAGTGGTTGAAAATTTAAACATTTTGGCCACCATTTTGAACCAAACTGAAGATTTAGGATCTTAGTCAATGAAACAAAAGTGAGCTGAAATGTGATCTAATTCTACAAATGTCAGAAGATGCTTTTGCCCATTATTAAGCAGATGTTAAACCGAGGTCTTGAGTGTCTGTTCAGGTGGATCTTAAAGATCCAGTGTCACTATTTAAAAAGAGAAGGGAGTATCTCCCCATGTCCTGGCCAACAATCTCCCAAAAAAATTGGTCATTCACTTGGCTGTTTGTGGGACATTACTGTTTACAAATTGGGTGTCGAAATCACCCACAAAATAGTCACAAGGCTCCACAGTAAATCCTGTAAGGCACTTTGAGATGTCCTCCCAGTATGAAGGATGCTTAATTAAATAATAATAATCCTTGCACTTGATATAGTGACTTATCTCATAGTTGAGAATATGCTACAAAGTGAATTTACTGTATTTTGTGGGCGAAATAGGGAAGCCAATTGCGCACAGCAGTTTCTCACAAACAGTTGTTTGCAAGGATTATCGTTCATTTATTTATTTTTTATTTTTAGACTAATCGAGGTCACATGACCACAGAAGCAAAACAAGCAGCAAAGATGGAAAAAAAACTTAAGATCCTGCTTGGTGGCTACCAATCGCGTGCTACGGGGCTGATCAAACAATTGAGTGATCTGTGGGATCAGATTGAGCAGGCACACCTAGAGCTATGTACTTTTGAGGAACTGAAGAAACATGAAGATATTGCTATTCCAAGACGCCAAGAGGTAATTCAGTCGTAAGCTTCATTCCTAGCTTGACCTTTATATAATTAGTAAATGACTGTTTTCTGGATGGAGTATCCAGTAATTTGTGGTAACATTATTTTTTATAATGCATCATTATTAGTTTGTTTATGTATTGTGTAAAGTTGCTGTATCTGGCTTTGAAAACTGGGATTCAGAACAAAACATAATTTGTGAATTTTATTTGACACAAAAAAGCAGTCCAAATATGAGTACAAGCTAATGTCGTTTTTAGCATTTACTGGTTTAAAAAGAACCAATAATTTTTGTAAGTTAGTTTCAAGCAGAAACTGTTAATGGAGCTGACCGAGCCAGGGTGATGGTGGTACTAAACAAGCAATTTTATTGCTTTGACCGTTGTTATTTGTTTGACTTCTTTAACACGAGCAAGAAGTGAAATTGCCGGTGACCTGGAAGTCAGATGTTTTTTTAAATGCGGGAAGCTAGCGACAGTGATGTCACTGGCTGCTCATATGACATGGAAACGCCAAATGCCTATAATGGGGTTCTACTGTACTTTTCTGCCTTGATTTTGTTTTGTCGGCTGGGTGTCTGATGCAGGCGGAAACCCATCACCCTGCTTAAGAGTATATTTCAAACCAAACTAAGTGTTCCACGAAACACTTCACTCACACTTAAAAATGTCCACGTTTGGAATGGAATGTGCACTCTCTACCTGGAAGGACACATCCTAATTCCAGAGAGAATTAGGGCAGGTTGGCAAGAGCCAAGACTTGAACATCCCACAGTGCTTTGGGAGTACTACTGGAGTCTAACCAGTTAAAACAACATAGCTTGCCATTTAAAAGCACTGTCTGACAAGCTTCCTGCCTCTTGTCCAGCTGGGACCACGCGTTATGGCTTTAGCTTGCAGGGTTAACAGGACTTGAGTGATAAGAATCCGATCTTGACCTCTCACTGTCAAAAGGCTGCAAAACAAGCTTTAAGCAGCTGGCCTGTTCATGCCATGAATTGGCCAGGTACCTTTCTGAAAAGACGAGTGTTAATTTATTGCTTGTTCATAGATAGCACTAATTGTATTCTATTTTTCCTATCCTCTGGTAACCTCTCCAAACGATCAGTCATTGAGAGAAGATGTCGCAAGGCAGCAAGAGAGAGAAAAGGAACTCCAGCAAAGATATGCAGATCTGCTTCTGGAGAAAGAAGGACTTCTGGCAGCCAAGTATTGAAATGTAATTCAGCCTTCTACTGTGACTGCATGCGTTTTACGTGGCTCTGTACAGTGAACTCCATTTAAGAATGATATGTTTTAATAATGGCTATAAAGAAGGAAACTACTGCAATATCATCCGAATCAAATTGTGCTTCGCTTTGTGCTGTAGTGTATACAGATCCTTTGTATATTCCTCATGGAGTACATAAGTAATATATGGAGTAATGTTTGTTTTGTCAGTTGTGCAAGACAAGAATGTTAAGCTGATCTTAATACGTCATGCTCCCTGCAGTAAGATAAATATTTTCTGTCCATTTCTGCTTACTGTATGTTAACAAACTTATAAAAAAGGGTGATTTGTACTGTGGTTCTAATAAAATGGAAAATTTGTTTATCTTTTGTACAGTTTCTTTTTTCCCATTGAGGAAATCTGTCCACATAAAATTTTAACTGCTTACTTCCTCATAGTTTTACGTTCAAGGATTGGGCATTCAAGAGCAGGACTTTTTTTAATTAAACACAAAATATTTCTCCTCATATAACCTGGTGACAAAGTATGTTCTAGGTTGTGCCAAGATGGTGTCTGAATACCAAATGTGCATTCTTCAACTCAAGATGTGCACCAAAATAGTTTGTGAGAAGTAGTCTTAATCACGCTTTTTCAACAATGTGGGCTTTTTAATGAACATTTACTGGAGAAGTGATGGAAGAGACAGTGCAAACTCTCTTTTGAGAAGCATCTCAAGACACTGGACTGCTCTCATAGCTAGCAATAGGTTGAAAATAATACTGATAAAATCCTGCAAGCTGATACTTGTGCTGCAAGCCAGCTAACAGTTGATGATCGAAAAAGGCACTTAACATTTTTAATAAAAATAGGGGGTGGACAAAAAATAATTATGTTTAAATTGATGCCCTTCAGTGAGGAAAGGCTCCTCAAAAGACAAAGCATCATTATGGAGCCTTATCAACATCATTCATGTGATGCACTGACCTTTTTATTATTGNTTTTTGGTATTTTATGGTTATCATTAACCTCAATTGAGAACTGAGCTGCCAAAAGGCTGGTCAGAATTAAACAACAAACTTTTAATACTAGGGGAGAGATATCCCTCTGAGATACAGGGAGATCAGAAAACCATTGCAGTGTAATTGGTAAAAGAGTGCTTTAGAATTGCTTTAAGAAAGGAATAATTCAGTAATTTTTTGTATGTACATTGCAAATCATTTTCAGTTAACATTTAATTTTGGTATTGAAATGAAAGATCCTGTTTGTTTACCAAAGTATAAATAAGTAGAAAATCAATTATTTTGGGATTGAATTGTATTTTTTCAGTCAGCTGGGTTTCAGAATTGTAATTGCCTCCAAAGTGTTCCTTCAAATTATTATGGGGCTTACTCAGATCAATGGGGCAATAAGAACAACAGCAGGAACAAAATTACTTTTGTACAGCGCTTTTCACGTCGGGAGGATGTCCCAAGGCGCTGGACAGACAGTGTTATGGACCCGAGCTGAGAATTGGCGTTGGGGAGGGGGGAGAGCAGAGATCGAAAGCACGGTCAAAGAGGAGGGACTTAAGGTGGGTCTTGAAGGTGGCGAGGGAGGGGGCGAGGCGGAAAGACAGCTGGATGGAGTTCCAGAAGGTGGGTGCAGAGTGGCGATAGTAGGGCGAGCAAGGTGGGGGACGTGAAGCAGGCCGGAGCCCGCTGAGCGGAGGGAACGAACAGTGGTAGCGCTCTACAAATGTAATTTTGTTGTTGTTGTGGTAGGGGGTTAAGAGGTGTTTTATAAAAAATAAAATGTTTACTTGATAAAAAGACTGAAGAGAGATCTTTATCCTTCATTAAAGCATTATCCTGTTTGACATTGAGAATTATGTAAAATAAATTATTTGATTTGAAGACTGTTAGAAATACAACATAAGAACTGGGACTGAAGGTTAAGATTGAGGCAGGGGGTGGTATGATACCACAAAAGGATATGAAAACTGGCAGTTAGAAACTTAATCCAAATAAAATTAGACAAAATAATTAAAATTTGTGATTCAATTACTGTTACAAATTGTTATTTAAATCCCAGTGTAGCAATTGCATAAACATAATCAAAATAAATATGGGATTTTTTTTAAGAAAGAATCTCAACTTTCAGCACCGTTATATTTCTACTGTGCTTAAACAGAGAAAATAATTTTTGAATTTGTTGTACAAATGCCAAGAGAAGTAAAGAAATAGACTAAATTGTAGAAATAATTTGCCCACAAACCACACAATCACTACACTTTTAGGTATGACCTGTGAAGCGCTTCAAGACGTCCTCCCAATGTGAAAGGTGCTATAAAAGATGTAAGGATTATTATTAATAATACATAGTTTGTATTATGTAATACGTTGAATAATAATTGTATTACATAATAGTTTGTAATCTTCTAAAACATCTGTGCATTATATTTTGCTTTGTTCAAAATTTTAGACACAATCATAAAAAAGCATAGGATCGCTTCTAAGTCAACACAATCTCCAAGATAAAAGATGGTAGGAATCCAGGATAACAGGAATCCAAGATCCTGCTAAAACAATCGGAGATCAATTTTCTCCCTGTCAAAACCTGTTCAGGAATGTAAAGCAATGGTAACATTGGGTTGAAAAAACTACAAACATAAATGTATAGTGGATAATAAGGCATCAAAACTAGTGCTAATTAAATAAAGTGCAATTTTAATTTTTTTCCCCTTATAGGAAAAGGGGAGCATGTGGATAAATATAAAACTGTTTCAATTATAAAAAAGATCACTTCTGATTTTTATTTAAATTGTAAAACTGTTTAATCGCTATATTAAAACTTCAAAGCCTGTATCTGTTGTAATAAGACACCAAATTATCAACAGTCACATATATATGATATAGCGCCTTATCCCATATTCGAGATGTCTCAAAGCGCTTTACAGAATATACAGTAAAGTGAATTGACTATATTTTTGTGGGTGAAAATATTTGTGGCCCCAAAGTGGGACTTGACCACATAACCATCTGACCCAAAGATGAGTGCCCTCAATTGAGCCAAGCTGATGCTATTTAAGTTTATAAATAATAATAAATAATCCTTGCATTTAATAAAGCGCTTCACAGAACATACTATAAAGTGAATTGACTATATTTTGTGGGCATAATGGCATACCATTGGTATACCTGTGCATTATACAGAATTACCCAACAATCTAACCAAAATATATTAAGGGAGAAGTTTTCTCATTAAACTTCTCTATACCAATTGCAACTGAACTTTATATAATAACTAATACTAGCTGCAGTGCCCCACTATCCTCCAAACATTTATGTTTGTAGTCTTTCCAACCCAATTTTACTATTGCATCAATTCATTTTGGACAGACTATTTTCACTGCTGCACCTTTACTTTTTCTGATTTGATTTTGTATATTTTCCTTAGTCCAACGTTTGCCGTAATATGAGAGTTTATCGAAACACAATTCTGTTACCAGTATTTGCCTAACAAATTTGCTTGATGTTCATTTATAGTACCTTTAAAAAGGACCAGATTAATCTTTTGTGGGCCTGGTAGGTGCCAAAAAGATGTGTGGGACCCCATTTTCATGTGCTCTGTTTATTTTTGCTTTATTCAGAGAAGATGGAAATAGTTCATTTTAACCATTTATTGAATCAGCAAAATTTAAGAATTTAATATTCAATAAAAGATGCTACAAATTGACATTTGACATGATATATTAGCCATTAATCAGTGTAGTGAGCAATCCAGTGTTAACCAAGTAAGTGCTTACACAAGACAATTTTGCAATAGTCACATCAATTTCAGCTTTACGCTTATGCTTCTGAGCGCCGCTTATATGTTTGTTCATCATTTTGTTCAAATCAGTCGATTACCTGTCAATATATTTCGCCGACGAAATATACAATCAATTTACTTTACAGTATATTCTGTGAAGCGCTTTGAGACATTATCAACAACATGAAAAGGGACAATATCAAATACAAGGATTATTATTAATACGACATGAATATTAATATGTAAATGAGATGATACTTTGCTTTAGCATCTTACCGTCCTCACGCCTGCTCACTTTCTCCTCTCATGTGGATTGCGTGCACACACACTGACTCACATGAGTGGTGGGGCCCTTCTGAGCGTGGGCCTAACGCCATTGGCGCCACTGTTGTGTCTCTCAGCTCCGAGGCTCTGGAACTCTATCCCCCAGTGCCTTCGCCGCCTCCTCCCTTTCCTCCTTCAAGGCCGGTCTCAAGACCTTTCTCTTTGACCGTGCCTTCAGCTCCCCTCGCGAATGTCTACCCCCTCCTCGCTCCCTCCCTTCCCTCCCCTCACCCTGACCATTTCCCCCCTCCTCGCTCCCTCCCTTCCCTCCCCTCACCCTGACCATTTCCCCCCTGCTCGGGTCCTGACCCAACTGTACAGCGCCTTGGGACGTCCTCCCGACGTGAAAGGCGCTCAATAAATGGAATCTTGTTGTTGTTGTTGTTGTCACTGCCTCTGAGTGAAGGTTGATCCAGAGTTAAGCCGGTTAACATTCAAAACAAATTCTAGCAGACAGTTAATTGTCTCACACACATGATAGATGAGTCCAGGGTTCATGCATTATGAGGAGAGCAATAGCACTTGAATCAAAATTCCTGGTCTCTTTCTAGACCTTTGTTGAAATTTCTACAGCTCTGTTTTCATGAAAAATAACTGGGGAACAGGACTGAAAGTTGTTAAGAAATGTCTGTATTATGAGTAGTGAACCTTTGTGGGAAGGAAATGCCATGTATATTAATAATAATCTTTGCATTTGATATTGTGCTGTTCGTGTTGCAGGATGTCTCAAGGCACTCCATGTGATTTACTGTAAAGTCTAGTGACTGTATTTTGCAGGCAAACATATTGACTTCCTAAGCTGAATGGATGAGGTAATTCATGTGGAGGAGGAATAAAATGAGATAGAGAGTAGATATCTGGGATCCAACAAGGACAGCATCTCCAACAATGAAGCACTCATCCAGGACTGCACTAAAGTGTCAGCTTATATTTTAAGTTTAATGTCCCAAAGTGGACCCACAACCTTTTGCCTCAATGCAAGAAACTACCAACTGAGCATACCAAGTATATAACTTTGTATTATGACTGATTTTTAGCCAACACTAAAGCACTAACTATATCAAACTGTGCATGAAACACCCTCATCTTCGTACTTCTGATAAATAATTGCTTACATTTGATATGTTGGGAGATCCTCTCAAAGCACTTCACAGGATACACTGTAAAGTGGAGTGACTGTGTATTTTGTGGGCAGTAATCACTAATCAGTATCTGTACCAGTTCTACTGACAATGATGAAGCTTTCACTACAGTTGTTTGTAGATCTTCAG